TTCCTCAAGCCATCACGGTGATCATAATAAAAAGGATCTTTTCCTCAGGCAGGGTATTTTTCAGCTGGATCAGTTCCCATGCAGTCACAGCAGACGTAGTTTTGCCACAAAGCAAGGGCCAGGAAAAAGTCTGGAACTGTGCCTTAAGAGCTTAGTGCAAAATCATGAAGTTGCAACCTCGGGTTCCTGGGTCATTTGTCCCTGCAAATATCCTGGATTTATAGCCCTAGTTAGGAAAGTGTCATTGGCTGCAGCTTTGCGGCTTTCTTTACAATGGGCCAAATGCAAAATCCTAAGTCCCAAAAGTACTGAGATCTGAGGGAAGTCTGGAACTAGTTACAGTTTTCAGTTTGGGATCAGGTCTAAATGGTTATTCAGAACTGGTCTTGAAATTGCAACTATATCATTTATTTATATCCTTACCAGAGCAAACCAGTGGGGCCACCCCACTGAGCCCAAGATCAGCCTCCCAGATCTCACCCTCCATTGTCTGGAGAGTTTGTGAAACCTCCACCCTTGGAGGGTTCCAAAACAGCCAGGCAAGCCCTTGGGCAGCCTGATACGACTTTGAAGTTAGCCCTGCTTTGAGCAGGAGGTTGGACTGGAGACCTCCAGTGGTCCCTCCCAAATGGTGTTACCCTGTGATCTGCCATCTTCTGCTGCATTTGCATCAGGCTCTGCTACACCACCACCACTCTTCTGATCAACAAGCGGTCCCCACATTGACCGACCCAGAAGTCAGGGAGCCTGAGTCAACTGACTCTTCATGGTGTTGGCTGCATTAGCTCAGGAGCTAGAGCAAAGCACAGATCTTATCTGTGTCCAGTTGTCTGAGAGCACTGCTGATGGTGACTACGAGAAGGACTCCTTGCCACCACAACACACACTAGAATAAGCTTTGCATTGCAAAAGAAACTGGCCCAGATTTGGCAAGGATCCCAAGATGAAGATTGCAGAACATTTCCTCTTCTTCTCAGCAGGAAGAAGTCTGCATTCTGAGGAAGAACAAGTGTGAAATACAAATCACTGAGCAGTTGCTGCTTTTTGTCCAAGTCATTACATAGCACCCCCCATGCGTATCAGCAGTAAAAGGACAGATGACGGGCTGTCTTGTCATTTCCACGGGGCCCTTCAGAGATTCTAGCAGCTTTCATCCACTAAAATGAAATCAGATCAGTTGAAAGAATACCACAAATTCACTTTGGATAAGTCAGCCCAGGAACAAACTGGGGGCCAGGGATCCATGGTAGGACACAAAGACCTGAGTGAGTCTGCTCCATCAGCCTGTTTGCAAAGATGAGATGAGCTCACAGGTCTTCCTGCAGTCCACCCCTCTGAGGACGCCTCTCCTTCAACCCAGAGGATGGGCCAGGGTTTCTTGGTGCTCGTGAAGCCTGGAGACCTCATCTATAAGGTAAAAGGGGCATGGAGAAGCAAGGGTGGGAAACGTGGGTCACTGAGCCAAATCCCCAGTCCTGGCAATACAAAGCTGCTGCCATCTCGTGGCTTGCTCTGGCCATGCAAAGGTTATGGGACACATTTTGCCACCTGGAAAATTTTGTGTCCAGGTAAAATCCTTCCTGGAAGTAAGCTTCAGCTGGAGGAAGCAGGGGGTGAACAGCAGTGCCCATTGTTAGACCCCATGGGGCCATGGCACGGGGGTATTACAGCTTTGCTGATCACAGGAGGTCTCCTGCTTACCTTCTGCACTACCTGCTCACCCCTGTTTGGGATGGCTCTACCCCAAGCCATAGTAACACTTTTTCTGTCAGGCCATCACTTCCTTGTGCCTTGTAACGTACGGAGACAGGATACATGCCTGTTGCTGTGGAGAGGCCCCGGATTTGCTGTGCACACGTGGCAGTCAGTGCGTGTAGCCATTCAGCCTGGCCTTCACAACGGTCTGGAGTTGGGAAGGGAAAAGATCTACAGGGAAACAGAGACATGCTGGGATCAGATGCGATGGACATAGTCTCCAGTACTGGGGTTTTTTGGCATCTTTCATTAAGCTGTGGTGCTGATGCAGGGATTTGTACTGTGGATAAAATACAAATGGGTAAGAACCACATGCTCACTTTTTCTCCCCCTTTCAGCCTCTCTACAGAGCTCAACAGCATGCACAGACCTTGCAAGAAGTGTATGAGCAGCCATATATTCCCTATGAGATCTCCATAACTGTCTTGAAGCTGCTTCCTTCCAGGCAGGGGAAAGGCAGGAGAACAGTCTCCCAAAAAGACCCACCAGCAGAGAAACTTCTCCTGACAGCTCATCAGAGACCATACTGAAGCAGAGGGCTGGCTACACCACCTTCTGTAGAGCTCTTGTAGGTGATGTCTTGCAGATACCCTCTTGAGGATCCCTCCTCCTCCCTTGTGTCTAACCCTGGGAATAGGTTCCAACTTCCCCTTCTCTGCCCTGGGATGCTCTGGGTCCTGCAGCCGCACAATTCACTGGGAAACAGGAACAAGAGTTCCAGAGAAGGAAAAAAACTGCCAATCCATTTTGTATTTCTGTGGTGTTTGCTGGTTACTGCCAGGCTTTTCTCTTTGTGTGGCATGTATTGTGGCTTACATTGCAGAAACTAAACTGAAAAACCTAAATAAATTAGACCCCTTGAGAAGTCTCTAGGCAATGGGGAGATAGCTGCTCAATGGCCTGTGCAGCATCCTGGGTACACAGGGAGTTTCCCGTAATGATAAGACTACAAAGGAATATTTATTTATCTAGATACTTATTCAGCTTTCATCTCTGGCAGCATTTCTCAATCAGCCATTTCAAAACATTTTTCCAACACTAATTAACCCTTGCAGCACCTCTGTGGTAGTGATGAGCATCCCCATATCACAAATGGGGTGACCAAGAAGCGGAGAAGACAAGTAACCCCTTCAATAAAGAAATAAATGGAGCAAAGAAATATCCTGAAACCCCAATCCCATGTCCTAACAAAACCATCCCCTGCAAGCCCCCCAGATCTGCAGACAGCCTGTTGGAAACGTAAGCAGCAACCTGCCATTCTTATCATGCCCACTACCTGTCTTTCTCAGCTGTGCACCAAGGAAACACTGTCTGGAGATTTAATAAGCCCTAAAAACGTGGTGCCCTGAAGCAACATTACACAACCCAGAAATCCCTAACGAGCTGCAGCACTGGTCAGCTGCACAGCCTATGTCACCAGGGAGATTTTCCCATGATGTTGCACATGCTAGTTATTCCATTCATTAACCAAGTTAATGGTGGCTAAGAATAGACCCCAGATGTCCTTCTGACCTTAAAAACTTATTTGCCCTCAAGGAAATACAAAGCCTAAGTGGCTTATGGCATGTGTGGGACATGAACAATGAACCAAAGCTATGAAGAGCTTGCACATTTCCAAGAACTCACAAAATACATCTCTGCTTTTAAATAATCTCTGTTCCAGTTTGGAGAAATAACTGTTTAGCAAAGATAGCACAGAACAGAGCAATGGGTATATAAATGTATCATTCATTGATATAGAGATTATGCCAGACAGAGCCATAGCTGTTCAAATGTCTTAGTTTTCTGTTATCTATTTCTGTGATGTTACCACTATGGCAAATTTGCAATTCTGTAATAAACTGGTATTTCTGAACAAAGGCCATTTGATATTATGCCTTTAGAAAAATGCATCTTAAGTACAATTTATTCCTGAATTTTTTTTTTTGGTAATGGAAATTATTCTATAGTCTAATTTTTTATACATACTCCCTAATATATTTGGGAAATTTCCCAAAACATACTAAAGATAGCACTATAGTTTTCTGCATCACTTCTAAAAATCAAAGCAATCACATACAGAATAAAGAGAAATTTCTTTCTGTATAAGCATTTTCCTTCTGTTGCCTGAATCCAGTCTCTTGATAATCAGCAATTACAGAGAAGAACTATAACAATTAAATGGGAGTTTGCACTTACAGAAAATCATGCTATTTATTGCATGAGCTATTCAGATGGAGAAAGCTGTTTGGAAATCTATTGGTAAATGAAAGAAACTGCTATTTCAGAAAGCTGAAATTGTATTAATAGAGAGCCTAGAGAGTCTAGAGAAGAACACGATCCATTTGGAACTGATCTGGTATTCTCAGAAACAAGAAAGGGTAAATATGGGGATTTAAGGATCTTTTCCTCCATTAAAATGTATTACTTTTTTCAACTAATATTTTATCAAATCATCTTCAGAATTCTATGATATGCTGGAAGACGATATTTGGGTTTCTATAGCACTATTGACTTGGGGAACCTCCAGGAGATGACAGTTCATTCACCCGTACCACACATAGTCTCCAAACTGTGAATGTTCAGACTTTACAAACAGAAAGACCAAGGCAGAGGCTATGAAATGATAAATTACAGTAATTTCCACAATCAGGGGCTCCAGCTCCCATTTCCACAACCCACTGCTTTGCTTGCAGAGGTGGGGTTAAATACCTGATTCCCAGGCCACGTGGACTGAAATAATGAACGCAGCGAGCCAAGGACACCTCTTACACCACAGAAGTTTTCTTCCTTTTGCACCCCAACGTCTGTTTTGAACACCAGCGAGCTGCCTGCTCAGGACACCCACTGATGTGCCTATTTATTTATCTAGATACTTATTCAGCTTTCATCTCTGGCAGCATCTCTCAATCAGCCATTTCAAAACATTTTTCCAACACTAATTAACCCTTGCAGCACCTCTGTGGTAGTGATGAGCATCGCCATATCACAAATGGGGTGACCAAGAAGCGGAGAAGACAAGTAACCCAGGCAGGTGATTCTGCGAAGGCTCCCGTGGCAGCCGGGCTCCGGGAGGGCCCCCCCGGCTCGGCCCCCCTCCATCGGCACAGGGACCCTCCTCCGGCTGCGGGACACCCGGGCCCAAGGCCCCAGGAGAGCCATGGAGCCTGCCCGCCCGTGCCTGCGGGGCCGATGCCACCCGGCAACGGGAGCGCAGGTTTCCATGGCAGGGCAAACAAGAGAAAACAGCAAAAGCCGAGAGCTGAGCTGAGCTGCACCACGTCCACGTCTGACCACGGACCCCCAACAGAGAGGAGCCCGGAGGAGCCCCCCTTTGGGTGAGAAACCAGGAAAGAAAGGGGTAAGGGCAACCACAGCAATTTCTCTCCTGTTTTCGTCATCAGATACAGTGTCTGTCTCAGACAAGTGGAGGTGCTGGCGTGTGTCACTAGGAAATCGCACGCACTAACCCTCTCCTCCTCCATGGGCGAGTGGGGGGGTACGTGTTGGGAAATGGGACACAGCTGTCCCTGCAAGAGCTGCTCTGTAGCTCAAAACTTGAGAGTGGTTTCCCAGCGAGCATAATGAGCCTTCTCTGCAAGCAGTGGTATCATTTTAATCACCCGAGCGTATAAAACATATGCTCATCCAGTGCTTTGGGAACATGGTGGAGGATTTTTTTGTATTATTTTTTAGAACTGTGTGCATATTTACTTTGGCATATTTTTTTTTTCCCTGCGCAGCAGCTTGATGCTAGGGAAAAGCAATGTTTCAGTAAATTAAAACCATGAATGTCTTATCTATTGATTCACATACTGCTGCCCATTGGTATGTAGCTACTGAAACATAAAAATGTCAAAGGCAGCGAAATATATGCTAAATGATTCTAGCAACAAAGCAATTTTTTATCTGCATTATTGAGCTTAATAATTATTATTAACACAACTAGTGCTTCTGTGCCTTTTGGCATTATTTCCAAAGTGATGTGCAAACAATCTATTAAACAAAATATACCTTGATAAAATGAATATTTATAAGTTAATCTTAGAAACAGATTCTGATATTTTGCTAAAATTATATTATGAAGCATTTTTTATCTCAGAGGGTTGCACTGACAATTATTTTCCATATGTCAGTATCCTCTGTCTAGTCCTGCTTTTCAGTCCCATTCCCTGTAGCAAGAATTTAAATCAACTACATGAACAAGAAAATTTTTATGAGAAGGGATTTAGTTTACAGAAGTCAAGGTGTGCACTAAGAGGACTGAACATCCAGCTGTTTGCTGCAACTCCACTGCATATTTCACAAAGTGTATTCAACTGAACACAGCAGGTGTTTGACTGCCTTCCTACGTCTACCTTGATGGGGTTTTCTCCAAAACTCACATCAGCAGCAGGGGTTATGTTGTTCCAGGATGTAGATAAAGCACCCCTAGAGAAAAAGATCCCATTAAGTTATGCAAAGTTCAGAGACATATGAAACCTAAGCAACCAGTCAAGGAGGCTTTTGGAATCATTACTTCAGGAACTGAAAATGAGAGAGAAAACATTTGGGATGTATTCAAACAGCCTAAATTCTACCTCAGCCTTTGTGTCTCATCAACAGTGAAAGTTTGACACCTCCAAAGAATAAGATACTAATTGGGCAGCTGCAGAAACACAGCCAATAGGAAACACAAAGCACCAAGAACGTACATGGAAATTATGCCAGATGAGTTTAGCTCAAAATACATAAAAACTGGAGGCTGTTCAGAGCAAAAACTGATGTTCTAAAATAGCCTTATAACTAGTGCAAGCAGAAGAGGATATTTTCTGCTGTATCTTATACCAGTACAGATCAGTAATGGTCCCAGCAGCAGAATTGTATCAATTGAACTAACACCTCGCTGGATCCAGCTTGCTGCCTTTGCTGATTAAAGGATAACTTTAACAATGGTCTACCTGTTCATTGTAAGTGAGATCATTACAATTACCCCTTTTCCCCTAGGGCCCACAGAAAAGACTACAAAAAGAGACCGGATTCAGAGAAGCAAAAACCTAACCTTCAACAGTTCGCCAGCCTAAAATTAAGCACAGAGTTCCCTACAGCATGTCTGTGCTGTCCAGCAATCGTTCAGCTTTATCGCAAGAAACCCACAGTCCTGAAGCAATTACTGGTAAGAGCTTTAGGGAATAAATACGCTGCTTGTGAACCAGCAATAGGAGGATGAAAAGGTATAGGTGTGGATCAGAACTGAAGATGTCAGTGGAAAAGCCAGGGAAGCACATCTCCTTTTTGGGGTCAGAACACAAATATTTTCCAGTTTACTGAAGTGTTTTGTTAATTCCTACAGACACAAAAGACTTAGTGGTTAGGGTCCAGAACGTCCCTAGGTCCATCACTGCTTAAAACATACTGCATCAGTTACTGACAGCCCCCAACTAATTGATGTGTTTTTTTATAATTTATAGTTTACACCGGGCCAGGGTCAAAGGTGCCATCTCCACATACAGAGTCAACATCTAAAAGTTTCTGTTCCAAACCTGGAATGGAAACCCAGCTTGTGCTGTCAGGTAAGGTCACAATGCTCCAACAGCTTTTTATTGTTAGGTCAAAGGAGAGGTCTGTATTCAGACCCTTCTGCCCACGATCAGATTGAGGTGGATAAAATAGCTCCAGAATTACAAATATCCCAGGCTGAAATCCTGAGTTGATCAGCAGATATGGTCAAGTGGCATAAACAATACAGAGGTCTCAGCTATATCACCGGCTTCTTATAAGCCCCATCCATCTCCCTGCTCTTGATTCAGCATTGTTAGACACCGGCAGCTGTGAGCACAGCTGCCCACCCTTCAGGCATGATGCAGCAGATCACAGTCCCTTTGCACTGGGTCCTGATATTCTGTCTCATCTTCTACATCCTCATCCATTTTTTGCAGAGACCCCAGAAGAGGATGAAGAAAACCCAGGGAAAAATCCATTTACTATCCCTCCACATATCGATATTTTCTCAATAAGGGACAAGGAAAGAAAAAATGCTAAGGCGGTACGTATACATGTTTTAGGCCAGTGTATATACAAGCAGTTCACTAGGGCAGGCAACCAACCAATATCAAAATTTAGTGCATGAGAGATATAATAGCTGTCCAATTCAGCTGAGATTCCACTTCACTGAGAGCAGCTTCAAGTCCACTGAAGTCCATGATGAGAAATTAACTTTACCAAGAGCAGATCCAAGCGCAGGCTTGCTGGTTGCTAGTGAAAAATCTGGATATTGTCACTTTGTTTACTTCAGGGTAGATTTACCCCTCATTCCTGCTCCTGGAGAAGATACCTGCCAGTGCTGTTAGCACTGATTACCACACATAAAACTCTGGTGCTAGATCTTTTGCTTTCCACTTCAGTAGGCTTGGCTTCCTGCTTGGGAAGCTGTATTGCAATGTTTGATGTGATCTTCTTCTGAACTGTCAACTAAATGAATGCCTAGGAAGAAGGATGACATGGGCTTCATGCACTAGGTTTCTCTCCATAAGACAGGGGATTGCGACCCACCAGACCAGAGAGCTGAGTCTCAGAAATGTCTCTTCTTATTTCTGCAATGGACTTCCCTTAGAGCATTCAACCCAAAGGGGTGGGAAGTCATGGAGAGGTTGTCGCATCTCTGAGAGGTTTGGTTGTTGCATGTGGTTGCAGAAGCCAGGCAGTAGTGTGGAAGTAAGAAGTCTTTGTTTCTAAATCACAAAGGGAGAGCTCCAAATTAAGCAAGCACCTCAACTCACACTGATGACCGACATAGTCTGGTTTTTGCTTGGGTTGAATGTCACTATATAAGTATGGGGGAGGGCTTAGGAACAAGTGCACTAAGGATGCCTGCTGAGTGATGTGCTCAGCCTAACCCATGTCCAAACTTTGCAGACAGCAATTAATTACACTTCAGCACATGTGAAAGCACTGGGCATGAACAACCCTTTAGCCTCCAGAAAGCTCTGCAGTGGGTTTGACTAGGTCCTCTCAATCTGAACTGGAAAGGTTTACATGCCTTTGTGAAAGCTGGACTGAGTCGGTATTGAGCTTGGGCTGTCCTGTTGTTCCCTTTTACTAGGGAACTTGAAGGATGAATCTCTGAAAATTTCCGTTTACTCCCAGGAATAATCCAGGAAGGAAAAATTAGGACACTGAGTAGGTACAACCTGTCACAGCTGGTGGCTCAATGCAGAAGAAAAATCAACAAACTAATGAGAACAAATGCTAAGAAATGAAGTGTTTTGGTTTGCCTCAGGAGAGAATATCATTGGGATTAGTCAGATAAACCAGGCAAACATGCATCAGCAGGGTATCAGTAGCCTGCAAATTTCCAGACTGAATAACCACTCATGTCTTTAAAAACCACAGTAAACAAAACACATAATCAAACTGTCCACGTAACTGACTTCTCATAGGAACGTGAAAGGATGAAGACCATGAAAATCCATGAGAAAATGACTTACTCCACTAAAATAAAAGCAAAGCAAAAAGGGTTCAGGAAAGCTCTGCAAAAGGAGGAAGAAGAGGAGATCGGAAAACAGACAACAAATGAAGAGAGACTGAAAACTCTTCAGGAGAGTCTTTCATGGAAGATAGCCAAAAAAGGTAAGGAACAGTTGTTATCTTTGTAGTGGTGCTGCTCAGCTGGGTAACAGCCTAAAGTAAAAATCAAAGAGGGGATTGGAGTGGCAGTTAGGTCTAGCTGACTATGGTGAGGTCTTGCAGACACAATAGTTATCCTGCCAAACTCTGTGTGGCTGGGCCATCTCCATCTCATGCATTTACATACGGAGCAGGTGTCACCCCCACCACAGCAGCCCGAGTTCCACCATCCTGTGGCCTTCACAGCAGCTGGGAGCTCTCAGAATCAGCTGGGAGTCAGCTGAGAGTTTGCAGGACCTTGTGTCATGGAGACATTTCTACTAAGCTGAACTAAAGTTGGATTTTAGTGAATATGAACCTAAATTTTCTGCCTCTGACATGAGCAGTAGCTTTGCCATTAATGTCTAGAGGGCACTGACCTTTGTAAGGACCAGATTCTCCACTCCATTCTACCTGGGTTTACTCCATGAAAGGCCACGTGAAACTAATCCTAAACATGGTCAAAACTATCACAAAATAATCAGCGTTTCTGGCTCCAGCGCCAACCATATCCATCTCACAGCAGCCTACATATTCACTGTGATATGGCCTTGGCCATATCTCCCCCTCTAGTCTGATCAACTTTATATCCTAATTTCAGATTACCCAGTAGAAAAGGAGACCTTCCGTGACTACGTAAATGACAGAAGAGAAATATTTTTACTTGAGGTATTTGGCTTTAAGAATGTTACTTTCTGTTCATTTAATTATTCATCCCTGTGTTGCTTTGGTTTTTTTCCCCTGAGATCCATTGCCTAGAGATCGTGCCAAGGAGGCACACATCAGACCTCGTGAACTGATTGTCCAAATCCAGTGTTAAAGACACTGTTAGTCTACAGCCCAGCAATCCCCAACCAAGAAAGAAAGGCAAATATGTCATTCACACCACCCAGTAGCAGCCATGCAACTATTTCATTTGTGAGATGCTCAGATATACTGACCTTTTGGCTCCTGCTGTCCTATACATAAATTATAGCTGGGAGCCGTTCTGAACTCAAAATAAGGGAGCCGTGCTGGAATATCCCCATTATTCACCTCTATTATTGTGCTGTAACACAACTGAATCAATCTTTGTCAGCCAGGAATTAATGCAGTCCTGGGACTTCTGGATTCTGTCTTTAATTTCACTGTTTATTTGCTGTGTTACTTTTGACATACCTTCTGGCCTCTGTGCACCCAGTTTGGACTAAGACACATACCCTGGTTTGAAATCCTTACCCTCTCCACCAATAGCAGCTATAAGGTAATAAGGTAACCAAGAACAAAGCTAAACCTACATACCTTTAAAATCAACCAGCCAATGTGACTCTGTTGCCTTCTGGGTTCATTTCAGTATGCCATGGCAGTAAAGCGAGATGAGATTCAGAGGATGGAGAACATAGCAAAGAACGAGGAAAGAAAATTGGAAAAAGCTGAAAGCTGCCTGGAGAAGGATGCTGCCACGTTTGATGAGTTCCTGAAGGAGAGCCATAAAAACTGTGTTCAAGCCCTGAAAATGTAATGGAAGCTGAGAGAACCACTTGTGTGCTCCAGCAAAAGCACTGGACACAGGAGGTCTTTTGCTTGACCTCCCTGCAGGGTTTTGGCTAGCAAATGCTCTATGTCTGAGTTTTCCCAGAGTTACAGTCCTGGTAGCGCTTTCTCCCCACACATTCAATGAAAGAGAGGAAGTAGAACAATAGCTGGGGAATCCCCTCACTGAAAAAGCCCTTGATTTGGCTGCAGCAAGGAACCTGCTGCTGACCCCACCACTTCCATTCTTCTCACAACACCCTTATGAGAGGGAGACGCTTCTGCCCACCCCCTCGCAGCAGGAACAGTCACCTGAGTGAAGCAAGTTGAGCGCTTTGGCTTATTACAGAGGCAGGCTTATCACAAGGGCAGAGCAACAACTGATGCTCAGCAGCAGCCAAATGAGCAAGGCCTTACCCTGGAAGCGTCGCTGGGACGCCATACATTTCGCCAAGACAAGCAAGGCCTTCAGGCAGGAGCCAAGCATCACCTGGAACACATCTATAAGATTTCTAGCACTCCCCCCACATACTTTTCTCTGTTTTATATGCACCTTAAATCACTACTGACTGCTAAATTGTTTTATGGCTTATGTTTATGTATTCTTCCCTAGTGCTGAAAAAGAAACCGCAGCAAAAACAAAGAAAATAACGGAAATCCAGGCAATCAATTCCCAAATAGAGAACCTCCAAAGGTAACTGTTGCACATTATTCCTGCCTAGCCTTTAATAGCCCCTACAGTGCTATACCCTCACACCCTCGGGGAAAAAGGTTTCAAAAAATGTTCAATTTTAAGAGTTAAAATGTTTCAGCTTTTGTTTTCCAGATGCTGGCTCTGTTTCTAAAACAACTCAATTAGTCTTTTAATTATATTTTTTTAAAGTGTGAATATTCCAAAACCGAAATTAAATGCCTAGTCTCAGATTAAAAACCAAACAAAATTAAGTAATGCATTTTAATGGTGACCTGGGGAAAAACAAAAGAAAAAATAAATTATATTTCCCATTATGAGTTGAGCTGGCAAGATATCTCATTAATTTAAGTAAAAAATCCAAAATTAGCAAGTCCAGTGCCACAGCGAGGGTCTGGCCACAGAGATGTGACCGGACAGCTTCCACATGAGGAACCAGAGCGAGCACACAGGGCAGGCTCCCATCTGTCTTTGCACATCCATGAAGACATGTGCCCTCTTGTCCCTTCTCTGGGTGAAGCTGAAGATCAAGGGTAAGATAGAACCTGTTCAAAAGGGGCTTTCCTCCCTGCTAACAAACTTTTTCCACTTCTCTCAACCCAGCGATATATCCAGATTCAAGAATACTCTGAAGGAGTACAAGATGTACAGGGACTTCCTCTATCAACTATCTCCAAAAGAGTGGCAGGAAAAACACGGAAAAAAGAACACAAAGGAAAATGATTTGGAAACAGCATCCAAAGCTAACAAAGAAAGTGCCTTGTCTCCCACCACGGCAGAGCAGGCTGAGTGCCAGGGAAGAGCTGCCCACTCCTCACCGGGACAGCCCCATGCTCTAAGTGTACAACTCTTCTTGCCTCCGGGCCAGGGTCTGACAGCCAGGACATACACTGCCAGTCCCTATAGCACCAGTGATAGAAATGTGCCGAGTTCCCTGCTGTCTTCAAAAAATTTGGACTTTGGGTCATTACATGAGATCAAGCCACGGCTCAAAAACTTCCTGAAGCCTCTATCAGCAAGAAGACTGTAAGTATAAGACAATGCAAGAAACAGACTTAAGTTCTGTAGACTGGGAGTCAGTACAGAGGAGACCTGCTCCTCACCTTCGCTGTAAGCATGCTGAGATCTGGGTCTTATTGGAACAAATCAAAACACCAGTAGAAAGCCATTGGGTGTGCAAATCAGTACCTATGTACCTACCCTCAAGAAAGCTCCATCCTCAAATCCTTTGTCAAGAGCCTTGCCCAAAGAATTTGGGTCTTGAGGTAACTCCAACAGGAATCCTAGACCTTGGGCATTTGTTTTGAAGCAAAGCTGCTTTGTGGCCTATTTGTGTCCAAGATACTGGTTCCCACTGCTGGTCACACCTGCCATGCAAATAGCTGCCTGTTGTTTTGCCATTAATGAAGGTCCAAGGTCACTGTAGACCCATGTTGCATTGACTGACTGCTTTCAGTAAGAGCCTTCACACAGAATATGCTGGGACGGAGGCAGAGTAACACCACTGTAAAGCAGGCAGGGCCATCCTGAGAAGGGGGGGGCGGTGCAGGGGGGAGGTGGGTGCAGGTCACTAACAAGGTCTCCTTTGAGCTATCATTTCTCTAAGGGCCTGACACACAAAATGCTTTTTCAGAAGCTCATTGGAGGATGCAGAAAGTGAAACCTGCTCAGACGAAGATGAGGTCAGAAGTCTCATGTTGAAATATTTACTTTCTGTTTGTCTTGTCATTTATCGATGTTACTAATTTATCTCATCTTCTAACTATTCATTATGGTATTGAGGACTTACTGTAGCCACTTATTATAAATATGTTTTTACACATTCATAAACGTTCATGTTTTAGCAACACGTATTGTAAATACGTCAGCTTAACTTTCTCCCTCCACTTTCCAAAACCTACCATCATCTCAATGCTTGCCAACCCCCAATGAGATATGACATCATATAATGGGAGATTTTTAAATTAGTGAAGATATTGTTTTATGTCTGAAATCGAAGATGTTTGCACCACTTTTTACTCTCCAAAATGCAACTTGTTTTGGGGATGGGCTACTGAGGTAGCGTAAAGCTACACACATGGCAGGAAGGTAGGAGACAGTGGACAGTCATGGACCTCTCTCCATGGGAGAGCATTTGAACAGCCAGGGCTGGTGCAGACCCACCTCCACGTAGTTCAGTGGAAAAGGAGCTAGAGGGGACAAAAACTCATTGCATGCGTTTTCCACTCCAGGAGCCTGAGTTGTATTTTACTGATCCCCAACAACTGCTCTCTATTTTCATGGAGATAGAGGAAGAAAACTTGTCCTTCATCCAAAATTCCCAGGAGATCGAGGAAAGTTTGGACAAGGTCCAACACACTTTCATCACCACACATGAAAGCATGTAAGTGTGATCCTGCAAGTGGTAGGAAGGGGTCCCTGTGCCCCAGCTTTCAAACATAAGTGACCCCCTCTTCCCCCCATTAGCACCTCGCCATCAGTCTGCATGCTGCAGACCACACATAATGCTGTTCACGCAGCACACAACAAAGTCTCTTTCTCATACCTTAGAGCCCAGCCCATCCAACTCACCATCTTTTGAGCTCCTAGGAAAGTGTCCCATTAGGTAATTTAGGAGATAGGACTTGAGTTTGGGATTAGTTCCTTAGTCCTCAAGGCACAGGCTGAGGAACTGATGCATTTAACATCCTGGAGTGGACATAAACCAGAAATATTGTTTAATTTTCATAAAGAAAGATCAAAGGAAGAAACAAGGCATGTTCCGAAGTGATCCAGACCAGCACCTATTCTGACTCAATGCAAACCCTTCCTAGAGGAAGCCAGCAGGGAACCCAAGTGTAATTACAATATAGTATTTCATTGGCAGGTAGAAACACATACTCCCATTTGACGTGTAGCTTATCCCCTGGTGAAAGTTTTTAAAAGTCATACTTCCCCCATTGAGTTATTAAAAAAAAATCTTGAATGTTTAGTTGTGCTACTTCTCCCTCCCCCACACCAGCACAGTAACTGTCATTCCAGAAAAATCACAAGTTCCTTCTGCTCTCAGAGCTGTGGGTGCAAGTTCCCCAGAAATGGCATGAAGTGTTACCTCCATCTGCCGGCAGCAGGAGGGATGGTCCCAGGCTGGAAAGCGGCAGAGTCGTCAGCTATTTTCAGAGATGACCTGTCAAAACACTTCTTTTTTCTTCCCGTCTAGGGAGAAGAAGTTAGCAGAACTGAAGCAGCAGGTAGACACCCTCAAATCCTCCATTGCCAAGGAAGAAGACAGAGTAGCAGATCTGAAGCTCAAAGTTCACCTCTTTTCCTCTGGAGAATCCAAAGCTGATGACCAGGTATATCCTGAGATCAAGGCAAGAGGAGTTAGCATGCACAGAAATGGTTCCTCTCCACCAGCTGTATCCATCCTGGGAAAAAAGCAGACAGTGGGTTGCACTGGGGAGGGATCAGCACTATTTCTCAGCATCAGAGCTATAGCAAGGGCAGGCTTGGGACACTGCTGAGGCAGCAAACTGGGGCAAACGTGTCTGCTCCATGCAGCTGCTAGGAAGTGGGAGTAGGGCTCGTAGAGGCAACCACGCAGCAGCAACCTGTCCCAGGCCACAACAAAGCTGGGAAGATGATACCAACAGAAGAATGACTAAATATAGCCATCTGTCCCAGACACCTGTGCTAAGTAAACTGGGAAACAATAAATTAAGTCTAGTTGAGGGAATTAGAGTATACTGATTTCTTTTATTTTTGGAGAGTTGTTGTGGTTCCTCTGGGAAGAATCCAGCCGTGCCTCTCACCATATCTCCTCTCATCTCCAGGATAAAATGCTCACAAGCCTGAACAAGAAGGTGCTGGAAGTCTATTGTCACTGCACTGGAGAAAATGAGGCAAACCTAGAGACAATGCAGATGCTAATGGTGATAGAAAAACAGCTCATTGATTTACTGGACAACTTGGAGAGAATCCCACCAGCAAAGATAGAACAGGCTGAGAAAGCCAAAAAAAAGGAACGGAGGATAAGGTAAGACAAGACCCTCTTCTAGAAATGGGGCCTCTATTTTTTGATGTTGACAGCCAAAAACAAAGCCACTGAAAGAGCCAAATGTCAGACCAACCGAGGAAGCTAACAGCAATTTGAACATCCATGTAACCAATCCATCCCATTTTACTTCTGTAAGGGTTTCACATTCGCAGTACTTGCATCTCCCGATCAGTGAGCAGCAGCCCACCACTGCATTAGAAAAGACCTGAAAGCCACATTAGAAAAGGACAAAATCTGGAAGAATACAAAAACAACACACAACACACAATAAAACACAGCCAAAAAAATCAAGCCACAAAGAGAACCAGATTCAATTATGAGAATCATTTTAAGATGACAATTTGCAGTAAAATATTTAAACTGCTTAAATAGAAAATTACACCTCTGTAGTTATTTAACACACTCAAAGTCTGACATGCCCTGATATTTTGTGCACTCTTAACTTACAAAAGAAGTACGACACACATTTATTCTACTCTGGGGTTAGAGGAGAATAATTCAGGAAGGAATCTGACACCCCTCCCCCAAATAAAAAGCAAGACCAACCAATCAAAAAAAACCCTTCAAAGAGCATTTAAATTTTTCCTGATGATCACAAGGTAAAGAATTCATTCCCTCTCCGCCTCAGTGTTCCATAGCTTGAGCCCATTTCTGTTGCAGCACTTCACTTCCATAGGGAATTGGAGCCAGTTAATGGTGTCAGCCTCCCCTGTGCCCATTTAGGCAAAGTGTAGCTCCATGGATGTAAAATCCTCCTACTCACATCTGTACATTACAGACTTAGTTGCACTGGTGAGAACTTGACACGGTATCATTCACCCACAAAGCTGGAGAGCGTCCTGGTCAACTGTAGAGCATGTCACCTGCTCAAGGTGGGACAGAGCACGTCTGTAACAGAGAACAGTCCAACATCTCAATTTGCAAAGCTGACATCCTTTTTCCACCCCTCGCTCCAGAAAGAGTAGGATCAACTGTAGCCAGTGTTTCCCTCCTACCACCTTCACAGCAAACTCCAGCATCAGCTACACCCAAACCCTTGAGCTCCAGTGGTCTTACACCATTAGATGTAAGATGTAGTGCAAGATGTAATGTTAGATGTTGGTGCTGTGTCAAAAGCATATTCGGTGTAGCTGCACTCTGTGTTTTACCCCTCTCCTTTATTTGCTCCTTCCAAAAGGCTCAGAGAGGAAAAGCTGAGACAACAGAAGCAGCAGCAGGAGGAAAGATTGCAAAGGACCCTGGAAAGATCACAGGCCCCTGTACAGAAAAAGGTAAGTGCAGTAATCCATAGGAATACTTTGCCTCAACAGCTGCTTCAGAGAAGCTGGGGGTACGTGAACATCCAGTGTTTAAGGGAAGAGTGTTTCTAGGGGCTGTAGCTGGGTGGGGATAGCACCCATTCTGAGGTGTAGCCCAATTTACAGGACTAACGTTAATTTAAGCAACTGCTGGGGAGTCAGTTATGCTGTGAGTTATTCCAGCTCAGTGTCCTCCCATCGTCCTCCTTCTATCATGACCACATGGCCCCCTCCATCACTTACTGAGAAAATTAGTAAGTTCATTTCAACTTGTTAATTTGGCAGTATTAAAAAAAAGCATAAAAATCAGCAAATGAGGAACCAGGCAGCACCAAGACACTCCTGACAACAGCAGCAAGGCCCTAGATCAGCTCAGCCATACCATCAAATCATACCTCTTTTGGCATGTTCCACATTACACCAAACTGATCCCTTGGGAGGCACAGTGTGGGGCTTCGGGCCATGGCTCCTGCTGCACGTTTCACAGGTCAACACAACAGTGAGGACATCCCAGTCCAGTCACACACCAAGGCAGTGACAGCATGGGCGACTCAGAACAGGTGCTATGAGTCCCTGCCCCTTTACCCAAAATAAGGGGGTTCTGCAGGCTCCCTCAGATATTTCTTCAGACATCCAACTTCCCTTCCTTTTGAGATCCTACAAATAAGGCTTTAGTCAGAAACCAGTTGCAGGTGCAACAGTACATTGTAGAAGCTGAAGCACAAGCGCATGTATAGCCTTCAGGTGCTTGACACTCATTTTCTAATAGACAAGCACTCAATAGAGACACTGAAACCTGCCTAGAAAATGGACAGCAAGGGGCCGTGGCCCCTCGCAGCAGGCAGCAGCTTTAGCTGTGTGGTTCATACATGCCACGCCAACACAGCACTGATGCACATGCCTCTTCTTCCTCTGCAGAGTGGCAGGAGGCTGATGTTTCGTTCTAAACTACCTGCCAGGAAGGAGAAGAAAAATCACAGCCAAGAACAAATGGATAAGGAGAAGGAAGAACAATTGTATTATTTCACTTGACAGCACAGCCTTAACCATTGCATGTAGGACTGATACTGCTCTAGAAAAAGCTTTTCATATATCTACATTATGTTACTTTGCTCAGGTGATGAACTTCGCAGTACCATGAAATTCCTTCCTTCTCCTACCCTAAGATTCCACAAAAAGTTGCTGTGTCAGTCAATTCCTTTTCCCCCCACTTTTACCTAAAAAAATAAATTAAAATTCTCTAATTTTGCTTCTCAGGCTCCTGCTAGCAACAATGCTTTTCTCAGTTTTTGACAAAAATAGCACTATTCCTACAAACCTGACTAGTGAGATCTATCGCAGTCCTGGGTAACAATCCTTGTTACGGCATGACTAAGCCAGGTACCTGCCAGACATTTATTATAATCACTCATCTGATGGAGGACTATAAAAAATGAAGCCTATGCTTTAATCCAAAGGATGGGTTTCATTATAGACTCCACTCCACTACTGTGGAAAAGACACAAGCGAAGGAAAAACACAAGCTCTGCAGAAATCAATTAGCTTTATGTCAGATGCAACCATACAAAGAACAATACCCAGTGACAAACTGACCATAAAAAAAAAAAAGCTTTATTAACCCTTTTGCACCAGCAGTTCTTCAGGTATCCATTGCCAGCAATGGAGTTCAAGCCAAGTGATCCAATTTTCGGCCCCAAGAGGTTAGCACTTTACATTCACTTACAAAGCTGAGTGAGGTACATTTTCAGAAGTAGAAAGATTTGGTTACAAGTCCCATAAAAAGATGGAGTGTTCCTTGGCCATTTTAATAGATTAAGAACTGGTATGGTCCTTAAGAACATGTAATGCAGGCATTGGGAGCTTGAGGTGTCTCAGCTTCCGGGGGAGCACTGTGACCACTACAGCAAGACCCAGTAGTCCCTTCAGCATGATTCCTCCTCAACCTTTCTACCTCTCAGGAGTGTGCGCCGTGCTGCAGTCACAGCCACCAGGTAGAAAATCACATCTACCAATTAGTTTGGTTTGGAAACCCAACCTGAAAGAGTTAAGGGATTCCCTGGACATAAACTGTAAACTCAGGATGAGAGGAAGAGAGACACCTCAATGCTCGGTTAAACTAAGGATAGAAAAATAAAACTGGTTCAAACAGAGGACAGAATACTGCCTACAAATCAGGATCTGAAGTTGAACGTAACCTGTATGCTTTCCCCCCCCCCCCCCAAGTCTTCAACCAAAAAAAGCATTTGTCTGGACACATACATAGTTCAAAAGGCACAGGAAGTAAAAGCATTTCTGAATGACCTCATGTGAATTAAACATCAGTATAACTGTAAAATAAATAAATATGTGCAAGATTAGAAAGATTACAACGTTCTCCTGCATGACATATCTTATTTTGTAAAAAAAATACACATACGTGCATACACACACACACCTCATTGAGAATAAAAAACAGTACATACACCCTTTTATCAAACTCCTATACATAATTTTATAGGCATTCAGTACATCACCATAAGAAACATTTAAATTACTACCTTCAAATGTAACCAAAGTTTTGGTTGTTTTTTTTTTTTTTCCTATAAACCCTATACTTATGTAGGTGTCTGCAATCCAGGTAAGTACAGTACATACAACCTCTCCCCTCACCCCCAAAAGAAACTGCAGTTTTTCAGTGGGGCAAATCTTCCCAGGTAACAATGCTTTTCCCCTCATAAAATACTCTGACAACTGCATATTCTGTAAACCAGACAAACTCCATGTGCATGTGACATTCTGGGATATCAAGAAAGAACAAGTGTTAACAGTGTTCAATAGAAAAAAAAAAAAAAGTCAAAACCAACCCAAAATAAAAAGGTAGTGGCCAGTTTACAGGTAACTTGGCAGCAGTTTATAGATGAGATAAAATCAAGGTGCTTAAATTTACATGACAGTCAACATTCCTCCCAAAAAAGGGAACACAAAGATAAAACAAACCTCTCTCAGATGCTGTTGGACTCTTAGCTAATCACTTACAGTGAGTACAGTTCTATTGCAGTTTTCTTTTTCAAGTTTTGCTGGAAGAATTCAGCAAAGTATTTGGGATGCAGGAGCAAGGAAAGGGAGAAACTCAACATGAGCTACAAACTGATTCACAGCTAAGTTAACATTTAGAATCTAGCTTTCTAAAACAAAAATTTTAGATCATCTCATTTTTTTCATGGCATAGAACATTAATTGTGTTACATGTGACACTTTATTCCAGTTTTCTGCCAGAACATAGGAGCCGAAACACTTATTTTTGTGTGCGTGGAAAACGCTTGCAAATCTTAGCTCTTAATTCCTTGATGCCACTGGCTCCAGTAGGAGACCAACAGAAGGAAAGTTTTAACTGTCATAGGCAGGATTATAAATTTGCACTTGTTAGCTGTAGAATACTTGCTTTCCTGTGAAAACAGTAAATATTACCTCAGTTTGAAGTTTAATACAGTACTTCTCCCTGAAACAACACTGTACAGCAGTCTGCCTCAGTCTCTCCAACCACCTGGCAGACAGAATATCTTACACAGGCACATCAAGTGGGATTTACATTTTTTAAGAAAATCTTTCAGCTGCAACTGTCCTTAGCAAATTGCAAAGAGCGCAACCATAATCCAGCACTCCTAGTTTTCGTATTTTCCTTGGAAAAAGACCCAACAGTTATCTCACTTTGTCAAGACATGATTGCCCAATTTGTTTTCAAGAAACTGTTTTTAATCGTGGTCATTCCAGATCCTGTAAATTTATTGTGCTTCCAGTGAACTGAGAGTTATCAGAACCTGCATCATCTTCAGTGGAATTGTGCGGTTCCTGTTAAAGCAAACAGACAGCATGAAGAGTTCAGTGCTTTCACCTCCAGATGCTCTTAAAGCTTATCAGTAAGATAACCTTGACATTTATCCAACACCAGAGAAATGCTTTGAATGCTTTAGAGGAAACTCGAACCTTTCCTAATTTGGGGACCCACTCAAACAGTGCTGCTACATTTTTTCTTTGGAACATTTCAGATGAGCATTACTAATGGAGATAAATATAAAATCACTTACCATTTGCTTTTCATCTATTAACTCTCTACCATGGCCAATGATCCTAGCACTCTTCTTGTATTTCTAGGCTTATGACAGTAAGGTGCTCCTCAAATACAAAAACTTTATTTTCTATCCAGGAGAAGCACACTCAGTAAGAATAACTGCACTGCAGAGTTTATCAAAACTGAAGCCCCACATGGCCAAGTAGAAAGTGTGATTTATGTACATGCTAATCATTTACTGCTGCTTAGTTCTCAGCTGCTCCTACTCACTAGTATGCAGTTTATCTGAACAGTAGATAATAAAACACTTACGTAAGAAGTAAATGAAGCTTTCCGCGTTCAAACAACACTGACACTCAGTAGTTAACAAGGGCAAGTAGTGAAACCAAAGACTGTAGAAGCAAGCAGGCTTTTTAATCTAACTGCCAGTCCCATACAGACACTGCTCTGAAATCTAGGCTCAACATTTTCCCACTTCCCACCCTTCCTGTAGCCTGTAACATAAATTCTGATCCTCTTTCTTAACCCACTTAAGATCTGCAGGATGGGATCAGGAAAACAAGGATAGGGAACTTCAGTAATAAATAAGTAACATTTAGTTATTCATTACTTAGTAACAGGGGAAGAAAAACAACCATCTATGACATGTCAAAGGTTGGTAACATACACAAGATAAACTTTGCAGTGCAGCTCTCTGCTTACTACTTCTTGTAAGTGAACTCCCAATGGAAAACAAAGTATTTTCATTAGGCAGAACATTAGAGTTTCTTCACTTTCAAGCTAGGCAATAAAACCCAATGTCTCTGACATGTTGTACCTGAAGTATGTGAACAGGTAAATCCACTGTAAGCTGAGAATGTGACGAGGAAGACTGAGAGCTCAGTTGAAAGGGCAAATCTCCCTCTCCTGGGGAATCATCCTGTGAATGCAGAAACATGACGCAATTACAAGACCCCCCCCAAGCACCTGGGAACAATATGGCAAGTTTGACTCAGTCTCACAATCTTAAAAAATCTGATCAAGCCACTGAACTGTACTAGTAAGGCCTACATCCACAAAGATATGTGGAAAGCTAACTACCACTTAAATCTGAAACTAGCTCAGTGTACAATCTATTATCATAATCAACTCTGAAAACTGACAAGACCTGAAAAGGAAGAAATGGTTCATCTTCCAACAAACATAACACTCAGAAATACCCAAGAAGTTTCATCATGTTGTGTGAAGCTGATACTTAAAAGTTACAAATGTTTACACCCATCAGAAAACTAAATAGATGGAGAACTCTGCCTGTAGTTTCCTCCATACCATATGTTAGCAGGAGTAACATGGAAGGAACTAGGAACTTACCCTCTCTCTGGATACGATACAGATACCCACCTGGCCAAAAATATATTACCTGCCATGCTCCACTATTCAGCCCACATTGATTACTAGGTATTTTTATAAAGAAAAAATCTTAAGCTTTATTTCAACAGTTTAGAGAAGTAACATTTTAGCCTGAAACTTCATTTGCAGGAACCTTTTCTTGTTCATCTTATTTACCTTGTAAATGAGAGAGGTGGAGTAATGTAAGAATTTGGGGGTTGTCAGCAAAGAAAAAGAAGAATTCATACTCCTGTGCACTCCCTAAATTAATGCATATTAGTAATTCTTTCCTTTTGCAAGAAAATTACCCTATACTTTGAGACAGGAATGTAGTATCTGTTTAGTTGCTCTCAAAGCTGCCTGTACAAACTAGGAAATTCCTAAGCCCTTGAAGGACCACAACTCTCACATGTAAAATGGAAGTTTGCTAGAATTCTTCATTCCATCACAGCGTTTCCTGCACCAAGTGTATCCAGCCTAAGAAGCTGAACAGGATGTTCTCTACAGTTACAGTGCCCATATGTTCCAGAATGGACTGAATATTAGTACTAAACCAAATAAAAACATTCTTCCCCATTTCTACAACGCACCTGTTTGGGCCCCCAGCAGTTCTATGACTGAACCAGCTCCATTTTCAGGCATTTCAAGATCTCTCTAAAGCCAGTTTCATATAAACTTCCCAGAAAAAGACTTCTTGGAGAGCAAATGCCCTCATGGACATGGTACATAATGCAGATCTCAAAATCCCATCTAGGGGCAGTAGTACCTGAGTTCACAGATAGTCAAATTCTTCCATATATGTGCCAGTTTAGGTAACAGAGAGGATGAGCATGTTTTTCCTCCTCAGCTCTTACCTGAAGAAGCTGAATTTGCACATACTGGGCTCCAGTGGCAGGGTCCCTTATTGTCAGCCCTCCATTTGGCAGAACTATGTTGCCACCTAGTCGACTGCCAGGAGTAGATGATGAAAAGGTGGTAGGGCTTACTTTACCACCCTTGCTTTTCCTCTGACCAGAGCCAGATGCCCCTAAGAGAGAGCAATTTTAGTATTTAGACAGTCAGAAGCAATTTTCCAGTTTCCTGCTAGTATTTTTCAGTTTTATGCAGTTATTTACACTATACAGCAATTGCCTGGAACAGTGCAATATAATTAAGCATCATCTGATAACTGCTAAAAGACCAGACAACAATCAGCTGATGAACTCAAACTGCTGACTGAGCATCTTTTTACATGAATGCCTTTAAAACCACATCACAAACTGCTAAGATTAGGGCTCACCCCTGTGGTAGCACAGAATTATCAGCATATTTGTGGAGTTATAGAAAGGAATTAGGAAGTAGAATTGCATTTTCTATTTTTAATTTTGCAACTCATTTCCTGAGAAGTCACGTACATCATTTTTCCAAACTGCGAAAAGAACATCGTGAAGCTCATCTATTTCCAGAAAGACTTTAAGGACTGTTAGGTAGGATGGACTAAAGAAGTACAACTATGACAATCTTAAGAATTTTTCAATTTAAAACAAGACAAACCACTTGTTTTTATCACAAGCTGAAAACAAAAAACCTAATCAAAATAAATTTAAGGATACAATCCTGGCAGCTGTTTCAGGTTTTTTGTTTTGTTTTTTAAACCTACAGTAAATAAAAGGCTTAGATAACTTTTGTAAACACTGAATTTTCCTCTACAGTGTTCATTCAACCTAGTTAAACCAATTAGAAACACAAGACTCTTTAGCCCACTTTGAGAAGCACATGGTAGCATTAAGGTAACAGCTGGTGTAAAGTAGACTACTGGGAGTCTCGAGTAGGAACAGAAATAGGAATTTTCTGAGGTTATTTTAGGAGACATGCAGATTAAGTGTAATCATTTTTTTAATGTCCAAAAGACACGTTTGATGATACGTGCACAGGTTTGATAATATACGCACACTCAGAACTAGGTTCATAAAGCAGTTATCCTTCCGTGTGATGATTCACTGAACCAGACAGAATTTATGCAGGTATGTCTTTTACAAACAGAAACATGAGATTGCTCAATTCAGAACTAGTCTCTTAACTCATCTTAAAAATTATCATCACCTTGATTTTCAGAGGCAGAAGGTCTAAGAGACAGCAAGGAAGAACTAAACTATATATGCATGATATTCCACCCCAGTCCCAAGCGTAGACACAACTCAAAGGAGCTCATGAAAGTCTAGTGAGCCATGGATCATGTTTGATCTGACAAAGTAACAGTGTATAATTCACGTCACACAGCTTTGAGTCAAACTACAGTTTAAGAGAAAGAGGACACATCTGAAAACGTGATCTAACCCTCACTCTGCACAAGAACTCTCTACAAGGCTATATAATCTGAGAGGTTTGAGTATTTCTAGATAACTAAGAAATAAATTCCTTAATAATGCACACTAAGTGAAGCACGGAAGCAAAACAAATCCAGCTGATGTTTTTGCTATTTGTACTGAGTAAAAGAGAGCCTACTAGTTAAGACCAAAAGCATAAAAAAATAGAAAGCAAAGTGACCTTTTTTTTTTTTTTTAATAAGAACAAGCAGGTGAAGGATGGAGGGATAGTGTCTTGTTAACAATCATGAAACATATGGTGCAGATTTCTTTGTAAACTTACTGTGAATTTGATATTCCACAGAATGTGATTATCCAGAGTAACAGATGGTACACCACATGCATAATTATTTTAACTAGCAATAAACTGGATGGGATATTTAAGAATGTACTCAGATACCTGCTCCCATTTCACTGTCAAAAATCCTAAATAATTGTATTTAGTAAATTTAACAAAATTAAAGGCTTCTCACCTGTGCTGCTCCCATTCCCTTTTTGTTTTCTTTTCTTGGCTAGCTGAATGGCTCTGTAGTCTGTTCTTGCAGACCCACTGCTCTCCTAGTAAAAAAACAGTCAAGAGATGCAAAGTATTTTGAATGCAAGAACCAACCAAGACAATGAACACAGACTAATGAGTTCAGTTAAGTGTTTCAATAAATTCCCTGTATGTACTTAATATTTGGAGTTCAACACAAAAATAAGTTAACTCCACATTTATAAGCGTTCAGATTTTAAGTGTAAACATTTACTTTGTAATGTAAATAGTTACGCCTGCAGTAACCCAGTAAAGCAGAAAGGGAAGAGTACTTCAAATGGGAACCAGGACTGAGATGAAAATGCTTCAGCTACTCTCCCAGCCCAAATCTCTCCCTGAAACAAAATGCACAAGACATACCATGTATTCTTGGGTATTCCTGTATATTCCATTCCATTCTCAGACAAGTGGCCGCTTAATTTTAATCCCTTATTTTGAAAGGTTCTCCCTTAACTCTACCCACCAGAATTCCAGTACTTCTTAAGAGAACTTATCACCACACTGAATCTACTTCTGACAACACACTATTCAACACAACATTCTACATTCTTCACCAAAAAAAGCCAAAATGCATGATCTACAAAATCTGAGAGAAAGGTCTCCCTATAAGGTACAAGTAGCAATCAATATCCCCAACATCTAGGGGCAAAATTAATAGTTACTGCATACCAAAAATGAACTGCCAGTCACTGTGCCAAGATCCATTTCTTTCTGTGCACTGTAGCTCCCTGGAGGGTTGGAGAAGACAAACTGTGTCACTACTTTGCTGCCCTCTTGTTGACCAACAACGTCCGAGCTAGGAAGTAAATTCCGTTCAACTTTAGTTGGTGTTAGTAACTCAGGCACATTGGTACTGCCGAGGCTACTAGAAGGAGTCAAAGTGGCTGTGTCGATTGTTAAATTATTGCTGGATGTCAGACCATGCACATCTTGACTGGAATTCCTCACCGACAAAGATGCTAGAGAACCTAAGGCTTCTGCATTGACAGTCTGTACATCATCCAAATTTAAAGTGCTTTGCTGTAGAACTGTTGTGCTGGTTCCCAGCAAGAGAGAACTGTCCAGGCTCTGCGGCATATCGCTGCTAGCCACCAGTATCAAGGGATCAACTGCCTGGCTTAAAGAATTGTTACTGACAGGTAGGTTTCCTCCAAGTGTTGAGCCCACCGAAGCAACATCAATCGTGACAATTCCAGAGTTCACTAGCGCCATGTCTGTTGCAATTCCAGAATTGTTACTAGACACATTGGAGAATAGGGATACAAGGTCTATGTTGCTGAGATCGCTCTGTCCCGGACTAGTGAGTTCACTGCTGGGTGTGAGGGAGCTGGTTGCTTCAAGCTGAGTTAAGAGATCTGGAAGAGAAGAGTTTGGTTATAAGACAAGACCTTTCATCAGACAATGGGGAGGAAAAATAGGAATGATCAGAGGAGGTAGCTTCAAACTCTAGATTTTCAGCCTACTAAAACACTTCCTGAATTCCCTGAAAGCAGATTTCAGGAAAAGAAGCTTACTGAAATAAGTTCTCTCTCTTACTGAGATATTTCAGTTACAAAAGCACTTGCCAAAACATAACATTAAGGCAGTTCAGTCTAAGTTAGGTTGTAGCAGAGTGAAAGAAGGGAGTGCAAAAAGATGGGTTTTTAGTCCTTGCTCATATTTTACAGATGGCATGGAGAAGGATAAGCTCTACTTCATTCAAAAAAGCTGCAATTTCTCAGTTTCACACAGGTCAAGCTCAAGTCTCACTTTCTGACATTCAGTTACAGGTCCCACTGAAAATTTTAAGGGAGGAAAACCAACTCCAGTCTTGGTGAAGAACTCTGCCACTCTTCTCAACAGGGCTCGGATTTCAGCATCAGTAAATACACATTTTTCCTTAATAAAACATTTAGGTTTTCTATTGCACCCTCCCCTAGTTTAAAACAAATACTTTACCTGGGCTGAAGTTATGCTGTTTGACCATGTGCGTCTTCATACTGTGTTTGGAAGTGAACAATTTATTACAGCTCGATACAGGGCAACGAGTTTTTAATGAGTCCACATCCTGAAGATGTTTTTTGGAGTGAATATACAGACTACTTCGTGCTGAAAATTTTGCACAACAGCCTGCAAGAAGATATACAAGGCTTTAAAGTTTCACCTAATTCAATTTGATGTTCATATTTAGCACCTTAACAAAACAAATTAGTATAGGTCTGCAAAACTCTGCTTGCTATTTTGCAGCATTCGTGCATACATTCAAAGGAATCAGAAGAAAGCCAAATATACATTCCCTCATTTTACACCAAGGACATGTCAGTGGGTAGGATAGCTCAACAACCTGTTTCTGACAAGAAACAAATCATTCAGTGTAATGCATAACGCTTCCCTGCTATGTCATCTTAAATGTAAATTCTGCATGATGACTGCTGGCAAAACCATTAAAAAGAGAAACAATCACCAAGTCGAGCTGCTTTACTTTATGAAGCAGAATATTCCAGGTCAGACCCGAAGTCTTTGCTCCTGGAGTCCTACTGAGGTGATGGATGTAGGGCTAAGAAACCCATGGAGCATCAGCGAGGCTCCCGTAGGACCACAACAGATGCCATTTACACAGCCACCTACCACCCCAGCAGCAGACACCACCACAGCGCAGCCACTGAACGCTCAAGAGGACATGTCACAACAGCAAAACGTGGCCTTGGAGGTGTTGGACCGGACCACTTTTCATTACTTGTGATGAATCAAGTGAAAAAGCTGAGCTACAGAAACTAAATATCAGAAGTAGGATGTTCCAGAATAAAGTAGCCCTGTTCATCATAAAGGGAAACAAACAAACAAGAAACAAAACAAATGAAAAAAATCAAGCTAGAGCATGAACCAGTATTTTCTCCGCAATCTATAAATCTAAGAATGATCACTCATTCAGTTACAGTGTCTCCTGTTTAGTTTTACCTCTTCAAACTGTTAGAAGACCCACTCTAAATTGTTAATCCCGTAAGAAGCTTGCATTTGGGGAAAGGGCACACAATCTTTAGCCAATATACACACTAATTACCAGTTAAAATATACAATAGTTGAACAATACCTTCTACTGGACACTCAAATGGTTTTGTGCCAAGGTGAGTTATACTGTGGCCTTTCAAGTGTTCTGCTCTTGTGAAGGACTTCCCACAGCCTTCTACTGGGCACATAAATCTCCTGTCATCTTCATGTTTCCTACAAGGGAAGGAAATTGCCATTGGCATGTTTAAATCCACTGCTGCTTAAGTACTGGAAGAAAAACAAGTAAACAAATAAACAGCAAGTGACTTAGGACAGTATAATCAGAAAAGGCTACCTTTTATGTCTCAGCAGCTTGGACATACTGGTGAAAGACCAGCCACAACCTTCAAAGTCGCAGATAAAAGGCCTTTCACCTTAAGCAAAGAAAGGTTACATTAATTAAATAATACCAAAATACACACTGCTGCTAGAAAATCTCTAAGCTGATTAAATTGAATTAAGACAAGAAGACTCAACCACCCTCTCCTGCAATTCACCAGAGAGTACTCTGATGTCCCTTCCCTCTCCTACAATCTGAGTCTTCTTTAACTCAAGGACATTGCATCTTTCCCTAAGGGGAAATAGATACGGATCATAATTATCAATCCATCTTATTCATCTGAGCTAACCTGGAGGTTCTTCAATAACCAGTAATAGCATTATTCAAAACAGAAACACAGATGAAATGGTTTTTTTTTCCTGTTTTCATGGCCTGTGATTATAAACTGATTACAATACAGTGAAGCACGTGAAGTTAGTTTCCATCATGTCTATGAACTTTCGCTTAACAAAAGTGATTTTTAAAAAAAAACCCACAGTGCAAAGCCATGAAACCAGGAAAGCAGAGGGCAGTAGAGAGTACACATAATTGTCTTTAATAGATTAAAAGGCTGAATTTCAGCTTAGTAGTGGACCTTGCAAGTCAGGAGTGCTTGCTTGAATTCAAATTTATCTTCTTGCTATTTCAAACCTTGGTACATACGTTTCACATATTCTGAGAGGTTTTTAGCCAGTTGTTTTGACCAAGATTAGAATTTACACAGTGTTTTGAATGTCAATGAATTTGGGAGTAGAACTGGGAATATTTTTCTGAACAGAGCTCACGTGCCAAAAGCCAGAGCTTTGCATGTCCACAGCTACTTTGCATTTGGCAAGATCATTCAGTGGACTCCTACCCCTCAGAAGGCCACGAATCAAATGTTTCCACTGACTCCAAATAACCCATGTCACCCCTTCTCCCTTCACAACTTCCAGCTTTTCCAGCGAACTGAAGTCCACTCTCCACATATTAGCTTCCATGTAACTTCCCCAGGTACAAGTCACCCTCGTGAATACCTGTGTGACTCCTCATGTGGATTTTCAGTCGGCAGGCTTTGTCATACTGCTTGTTACAGCCAGGAAACGAACAGGAGAACTGCTCCTGCTCCCTGAAGTGGGCTCGATTATGGGAGAATAATGCACTCACTGTTATAAACGTTCTTTCACAGCCTGGAGAAAGAAGGGAAACAGGACACCAGCTTGATACAAAACCGAATGAGGAAAACTGCATTCTTTCCTCCCTCCCACCTTTTTGTGAGGGGCCTTTGTGATCCTTTTTCCAGGACATAACATCCTCAAAACCAACCAGTTTAATCCTAAACCACGTCACTCACAGGGATTACAATTATTTAGCCCAGGCGGGCAATCAAAACACCTACAGCCCGGCTCAAGGCATACCACCGAAAGCCTGTGCTGCGACTTAAGGCGTCCCACCACGCCAACACAAAGCCAGGCATAAGAAGACCAGAGAAGGCGCAGCATTCTCCAGCTCCCGAACTTTCCCTCTTGCGATCTGAGGTGTCCTGGAGCAGGAGCCTTCCTCGACGCTCGGGGGGTGCCCCGAAGGGGAAAGGCGGGCAGCAGGGAGGAAAAGAGCCGAGCCGCTGGGCGGTCGCAGGGCCGGGCTCCCGCCCATAACCCGGGCGAGCTTGTTTTGTTGGTTTGGGTTTTGGTTGTTTTTTTGTTTTTTTGTTTTTTTTTTTTTTTTTTTTTTTTTTGGCAGAGGGAGGGAAGCGAGCCCCGGCGGCGGCTTACCGGGGAAGTCGCAGCGGTACGGCCGCTCGGGCTCCAGGTGGCTGCGGCGGCGGTGGGCGGCGAGGCGGGCGGCGCTGGGGAAGCGCTGCCCGCACGCCTCGCACTTGTGCGCCGCCTCCTGCTCGTGGGCGCGGCTGTGGGCCCGCAGGTTGTAGACGGTGGTGAAGCGCTTGGCGCAGCCCGGCGCGGCGCAGGCGAAAGGCCGCAGCTTGTCGTGCGAGTGCAGGTGCCGCCGCAGCTTGTAGGCCGTGGCGAAGGACCAGGAGCAGCCCGGCACCGGGCAGCCGAAGGGCCGCGCCGCCGCCGCCCCCCCCGCCGCCCCGCGGCCGTCCTCGCCGCCGCCGTGCGCCGAGAGGCGGTGCAGCCGCAGCTGCTGCTTACGGGGGAAAGCCTCGCCACAGCGCGGCTCCGGGCAGGGGAAAGCCGGCGGCGAACGCGGCCGCGGCCCGCCCGGCGGTTCGGCGGGGCTGGCGGCGGCGGGGGGCGGCGGCGGCGGCGGGGCGGGCGGCGGCGGCGGGGCGCCCGCGGCCTGCTCGGCGCCGGGCCCCAGCGTCAGGACGCCATTCTCGATGCGCACCACCAGGCTCTGGTTGTTGATGGTGATGGTCCCCGAGAAGGAGCCGTCCTCGCCGCCGCCATCGCTGCCGGTAGCGGCGGGCAGCGGCGGGGGAGGAGGAAGAGGAGGAGGAGGAGGAGGAGGCGGCGGCGCCGAGCCGGGGGCCTCCTCCGGCGGCTCGGCGGGCGGCGGGCCGGGCTGGGCGCGCCCCGCTTCGCCGCCCGCCTCGGCCGCGGCGCGTACCACGTTGAAGACGAGCAGGAGCCCGTCGTTGTCAGGCGCGGGCCCCGCCGGCGGCGCGCAGGGGCTGGCACCGGGCTCCGGCTTCTCCTCCACCAGCAGCACCGGGAAGCTCACGTAGAGGCCCGACGCGGCGGTGCTGGCGGCAGAGGAGGAGGAGGTGGCGGCGGCCGCCGGCTCCCAGCCGGGCGGCGGCGGCGGGCGGCGCGGGGTGGCGGGCGGCGCGGCGGGGCCGCCATGTTGGGCGCCGGGCCGGGCCCGGGCCGCCTCCGCGGCGGGCAGCCCCTGCGTTTCCATCTTGGGGGTCCCTGTAGCAGCGGCTGAAACCGGAGCCGCGGGGCGGGGCCGGCGCGGGCCGGCGGGGAAACCCGGAGCGCGGAGTCGCGGACCGGACGGGACGGGGCGCGGCGAGGGAGGCGCCGGGAAAAGACGGAGCGCGGAGTCGGCGGACGGGGCGAAGCGGGGTTCACCCCGCGGCCGCTAGCCCCGCTCGACTTTCCGTCGCCTCGGGGGGGCTGCCCAGGTGGCCACCGTACACTAGCGAGCTGCTTCTAGGATCTATGTATTGCTGTTAATAGCAGGGAAGAAGCTGTGCCGGCACGGAGCACTTCTAAGCTTGCAACCACACGTGGAGAGTTGCAGTAGGTATATACTTCATCAAAATACCCTTCGGTGGAAACAGAAAATTGCATTAGGAAACAGCCTCGAACAATGCAGATTTCCTGTTCAGATCATGGCCGTGCCCCTGGACCACCCCAGAGCGTCAGGGAGAAGCAATAAGGGATGCTGCGGAGGGGGAGCGGGTTGTCAAGGCAGGAGGGAAGAAGGACAGACACAGACAAAAGGAGATCGGGGGTAGAAAAGAGGCTCCAAACTTAGATATTGTTGCTGAAGTCGGATAAGCCTATGCAAAAAAAAATCCTGCAAGTTCAGTTAGTGCATAAAAACCGGGTAGTTTATTTTTTTGTTCTTGGGCAAAGCTGTTTTGGGGGGCAATGTTCAGCTCCCTTCTGGCTTTCTGATACTTAAGGAAAAAGGGAAATTACCCTGTATTTGGCGTGGAAATGACACCACTCCCCTGCTGCTGTGGGACCGATGAGCAATCCCAGCAGATGGTGCTGTGATCCTTCCACTGCTCAAATTACTCCTCCTTTCCGCTGAGCAATTTAGCATCAAATCTCCAGCAGCAAGGATGGGAGACTGCTGGCTGGGCACACTCAGCTCCAGGGAAGCCTGTACTTCTTGCCACAGAGCTGTAGGTACGCCCAGAGCTCCAGTGTGGACCTGGCACAGCCCTCTGCAGAGTCTGAAGTGCCCGGGTCATCGAGCACAGCCTCCTCAGGAATCCCCTGTACCTCACGGCTGACTGCCGCTGGGTGGGGGTCATTCCTGTTCTTGGCTGCCCCTAGCCATCCCCATCTCCCCGGGGAGGTCTCTGCAGTACCTTCCTTCCTGTTCCTAGCAAAATAAAGGTCTGGTCAGGAGTTTATTGCTTAACACATAGGTGCATCCCTAGTTGATGGATGTCAAACCTGAAGGAGAAAATAATAATTAAAAAAAAAAAAACACAAATTGCTTATGTTTGCCACAGCCTGGAGGGATTCAACAAGACCCTAACTAGGAAAGCTAACAGCTCTCTCCTGTCACAAGCCTTACACCTTTAAAAACCACTGTAATTGCAGACATATGAGTGTTCTGCGTGAATTATCCTTTGTCACCAAGCTCTTGTCTCTGCAAGCAGGCACAAGCTTTTCAGGACAAGTGTCTGTGTTTTGAGGAAAGCACTAAGGTACAAAGATTCATAGGAAGGTGCTCCAACCTGTGGCAAGCTTGAGACTTCCCTACAGAAATGCATTACCTTTACACCCACTGTCTGGATCTGATCTGAGGCAATCCCTACAGATGCGTGGCTTGAAGACAGCTCTTTCTGTACTGGGTTTGTCCAGCAGTGAGGTCAGCTACCTAAAAATGACATCAGCATCCGCACAGAACAATAGCCCATTCACAGTCCCAGCTTCTCTGCAAGTAAGTAGAGAACAGATAAAACAAGGCTCAGCAGAGCTCAGAAAGGGAATCTTCGCACTGGGCTTGTTTGTGGTTTCTGTATGCTGGAAACCACCTACTGTTTCATCCCAGGCAGTAACAGGTTATTGTTTCCCTCTGCCCTCCCAAAGGTGTTGTAAACCTCAGTCAATTCACATTCATTAGGTGCTTGAGATACGCAGTTAAAAGACCAAAGTAGATTTAAATGTACACACATAACTATATATACTACGTAATTAAACAACAGTGAATAGTCATAAATACAACGAACTGCACATCACTGCCTTTTTGTAACCCATTTTGTCTTACTCATGCTGCCTTATTAATAAAGACTACATAGTCTGAACTTCAAGTAGTAGCTCTTATATAGCACTCGTACATTCAGGTTCTATGTCTCCCTACAGGTAACCCAGAGTTATAAACTCCCAGGGACCTGAGTAGCATTAAACACGGGTATGCTTGCAAGGTTATGTTCTCAGGTCAATAAAGCTACAAAGATCAAAATAAGGTTCCTTTTTTGTCTGGGATGAAGGTGAGCATGCCGGCAGGTACCCCAGTACTAAACAATACAAAGGTGAAGAATTCATAATAAATATTTCTTCAACATTTTGTTGCTGGTGGATTTTCAACTTGGAATTAAGATGAATCTATGGAGCACTTCTACACTCCTTTGTACAGAAAAGCCAGTGTTGTTCTGGTTGTTCCTCTTGACAATGTGGTACCCTAGTGCTTTTGGGCTATGAAGACTCAAGTAGTTTTATACACTACCAAGATACTAACTTTGGACCCGGTCCAGTGTGGTTATTAATAATAGGTAATGCATAACATATGTCAAAGCAATGGCTGTCAAATCTGGCTGACAACTACTCACATCTCAATCCTATAACTTGGCAATGTGGGTGTTTTTTGCATAGTATAAAGCAATTCCGATCAACTGCAGATTGCACTTCACAGAAGGTTCAGTTACAAGCAGATGCCAGACTCTCACTATTCATCTGAAGACATATACAGTACGTGAAAAGAGTAAAGAACCAATTTGCAATTCAAAATAAACTGTTTACTTGGCACCAGAGGCAATACAGAGTTGCAGAGTGTGCTCACCTGGCAAGTACCACAGGGTCTAGTCATTGTATGATTTCTTGAGACCCCGCAGTCCTGAGGACTGTGGCTCATCACACCTCATCTGCAGCAGCCAGCACAGGTTTACCTGCGTAACCCCTTCCCCTGCCAAGGGGTAACGGATCCAGTGCCCAGGAGACTGAGTGACAGGGCAGATCAAGTCCAGTACCGCATGTGCACCGGGGAAGGGATTGCTGGTGCTCTGTGTTCGTGTCTGAATGAGGCCCATATACAAGGGCCATGCTTAGCCTGAGACATGATAGCTAAGAATTATTTTTATACACACACATATTTATATATGTGTACGTAAAATAAGTTTCTGTAAATATATATATGTATGTATCTGCCAGTATGTATGTGTATAGGGGCTTTAAAGTAAGCCTCAATTTTTGGTTCAGCATCACAGTTGATTAGAAACAAAATACTTCAGTGAGTTACTGTTAACACAGATATAATAGTAGGTTCAGCTGAAAAATATGCCTTTTTTCAGTTGCATCTAGGCACACTGGATTCTGTGCCTTCCTAACTCTTCCCGGGAAGAAGGGAGACCAAAAAGACCTTTCTGTATCTATTTTACTATATAATCAATTTCCATGTGAAGGAAGCCCACAGGGTCTTGCCTTTGGTGCTTTAGTTTGGTTTCATATCAGTTGTGTTTTATTTCAGAAAGTGTATATGATCATTTTGTTACAGTGCTTCACTAATTGCATCACTCACATCCAAGTGGGTGAGTAGTGCATGTTTTTTTTTCGTTAAAAAGCAGCAGCCAGCACTAAGGATCTAAGTTTTCATACATTTAGAAGCTGATCAAGTGCAATGGGCTTCTACAGAAGAAAAAATTAATCACTGTGTGACACAAAGCACACACAACATCAGATTCAGCAGAATGGCACCATCTCAGACTGATGCAGAAGTTGGCTCACACTAATTTATCGTGAGTTGTTCTATATTTTCCTGGACATGCTGTAAGATGTCTGGAAATGGTCTAGTACATTCTGCCCTCAAGCTTTTCCACCCACTTACCTGGCACTGCATTCTGTTCCTGCTTGCAGTGAAAATTTTAGGGAAAAACAAGCAGGCTGGCTGCGTTTAACTGCTTAGAGTTTATCTGTCACTTTCTATTGCAACCACCAAATGCTTTTATGGCAATATAGAAAAGCTCGAGTCTAGCACATGTGTTATCAGTACATTCTCCAACAGCTGAAGAATAAGTTTGTTTACACACCAACATGTTTGGCTACTGGTTTTCATGGCTCTTTGCTGATAGCAGCAGAGTCTGAATTAGAATGAAGAGTTCCAATTTCCATTCCACATTTGATCTACCAGACCTAAGAGTCTCCTTAACTTATGAATTATCAAGAATAAGTGGATTTCTTTTTTTTCTTTTTCTTTTTCATTTAATTTTCAGGATGAAATTCCAGTTCCTTGCCTTACAATGAATAGTTTCTTATTGCAAATATTGTTCCAAATATACTTGTGAAAAGAACGTTTCCGACATCAGTGGACCTGTCACAGACGGATACAGGTTTGCCCCATTAACAACTTAAAAGGGACAAAAAGAACTCACATGGAAGAGAGATTTGCAAAGCTTTTATCATTTGGCCAGACAGCAAAATAGGGCATCAAGGAAGCAACTTCAAATGTATTTTTAAGGGCAACATTGCATTGGGAATACCACTAATGTTTCATGGCCTGCTCCAAGATGTTCTCGTCCACCACCTTGTGAGGGAGAGTCACCTTCAATGTGGCATTCTCCTTCATTGCTTGGCAGATGGTTTCATAAGCATAGTCATTACCTGACCAGCAGCGTCTGGCGACCTGTCAGACCAGAAAATCAATGGGTGTTAAAATCCTACATTTCTCTCGCCACATCCATTTTATACAGTATTTGTCCAAACACTGGCACCCAATTTCATGACAATTCTCTCACCAAAAATAATTGTGCACTCCATCCCAGCTCTGTAAAACTGGCACTTGGTTTAGATAACAGTATCATTTAAGCCATCAGTCCTTTTGTAGTGGGATACATATTTAAAAAGGAAAATGTTACTCAATTCATTTTCAAAATATTAAATCAAGGAGCCAAATGCTCTGCCAACATGTAAGGATGAAACTCTATGGACAGCCAGGAAACTGGTAAACCCCTCTTCCAACAAAGCTCTGCGTTTTGATCTGTGTACAAGCAAGATTCCCCAGATGAAAAAAAGTCAAGATTTGACACAAAGCAAATAAGTCCTTCCCTCTATTCAGTGGCTTACAAATCTCTATCATGAATTGCAAATTGGCGTCTGAAATATTCAGACTCAAAAGCATTCAAGAAAGAAAATACTTAGGTTTCAGTATAGCAAGGTATTTAAGCATATGAATAATGTAAGACTACTAAATTCCCAGGATCATTGCAATAACAGCTAAAAATGATCTTTTGTCAACAACTCAATTTCCCTGCCACTCACCTATGATTATTTCTGGCAGTATATTTTCAAGGGTACTCTATAGTTTCTTTCCAGTCCTGTGTATAATATGGGTAGCATTCTCAGACTGTCCTTTTTCAACATGTGTGTGGAGGAGTGGGGCTTTTGCTTGCAATAAATCAGAGCAGCAATAGATTTATTGGTTTTTGATAGGTTGTTTCTGATATACAGTTCTTGTTAAGGGTTTGTCTTCATTACTCTTATCTACAAATTAATATAATTGTCTTCCTCCTTCTTCCTTAATAGTTTGTTCCTGTGTTATTTCAGATCTGGGACAGCAAATGCATGCAATTTGTTCCTTCTCCTCTTCTACCCCCAGTCATGCCAGGTCTTATGAGGAGAAAAAAAAAAAAGTTTAGGTCTAAGGCAAGTAGGAATTCTGCAATTCTCTTGAGAAGTAAAACAGAGCAGATCATTTCAGCATTGTCAAGGAGCATCCTCAATACATCAGTTCTTTGTGAGGTTACATGACTAAAATTCAACAGGTCTTGTACTTTCATTGGGCTGTGCATCACTACATCCTTTTGATTTGGTTCCCTGCAAGTACTGAATCAAAACCTCTCTGCCACTTCAGAGTTGGGATCCTAGTCTTAAACCCAGGCAGGATCTATCTGAACACTGATGGAATGCAAAAATTCTAATAGTAGCAAGGGCTGGATGAGCTGGCACTTACATGACAAGCTTTTCAAGATACCTTGATCTAGAAGTTAGGGACAGGACTAAAGTTCTTATAGTTGTCAGTTGTATTGTGTAGGCAAATAATAATGCCAACATGTCTAACAAAATTACAGTAAGCATGCTTCCCTTTCTGCTTAAAGAATAACAAAACACACCCTGACACGTGGAATTTCTGGGCTCCAATATGTTGTAAAGTCAGAAGGGGTGGTCCCGGGACTTTACCCAAGAATTACTCAGCCTCTTTTATTGACTTGAAGTCTTTTGAAGTTGGTTGGAGGGGAAAGAAAAAAAAAAAAAAAAAACAAACAAACCAAACAAACAAAAAAACAAACAAACAAAAAAAAACAACCAAACCAAACCAAACAAACAAAAAAAAAACAAAACAAAACAAAGAAACAAAACAACTCATTGACTCTAGTGGGATCAGGCTCATAAACACCCATTTTAGATGCAGTGGATAGAACAAGTCAGTTGGCCCATTAGGCCTATTCCTGGGATACAAAAAGCCAGATCCTAAAAACTCCTGCCTGAGTGCTCATACTTCCCATTCAGTTAAAAAAAAAAAAATAAAATAGGTGCACTGGAACCCAAGTACCTAAATAAACATAGTCCTGGAGACAGTAAAATATTAAAGTGAACATATATAATGAATTTTGCTTACTCCATTGGAAACATCCCAGCTAAGCATCATCTTCGCCCGTTCTTCAGCCTCCTTGGACCCATCCAAAACCAGGCCAAATCCCCCATTGATCACTTCACCCCTAAAAAATATAAATGTAAGAGAATCAAATCAAAATAATTTAAAGAAATCCCACAAAAATCACAGGAGTTAATTTGTTCAGTTGCACTGCAGAAAGAAAGATGAGAACATAGAAATGGTGCTGATTAAGAGACATTAACAGTGTCCTTTATATTAACAATAAAACAAAACAAAACAAAAACAAACAAGCACACAAAAAAGGGAATTTAACAGGGCAAAGGCCTAGTTTCCTGATCTGCAGCAAGCCTGTTCCACCTTTATTGTAATGCCTAGCTAGCAGTCAGTATCTGGTCCAAGCAGGAGTGCCAAAAACTAAGTTTGCGTTGCATCTCCTGAATGTCCATACTGACTCAAGAAACAAGTAAAGAAAGGTTAACACTTCTGACAGTCTGGAGAGTTACCTATCTCTGGGTATTTTTAAACGCTAAGCTGTTTGTTTTGGCTCCACTAGAGCCTGTCATATAGATAGGATCGTGAGGAGGACTGTGTATTTATTGAAGCAGACAGATGGATCTATTTATATTCCCTCGGGACAAATGAGAGAGCATAAGTATTTTATTAAAAAAGCGTTAACCACCACTTAATGCACATCTGCTTCAATCATTTCAAAAACAGTCATTCATTTTGTATGAGATACATAGATGTTTAAAGATATCAGTGCCAACTTTTCAGGAAGCAGACTTATTGGCAGAAGAAGAACAGAAATATGTTAAAACTAACAGATTATACTTGGGAGAAATACCAGTCTGGTTTTAAAAGGACAAGGGAAAACATGTAGAGCAAAACATCTTGTCTGACTTCAGATTCTGGCCTGCTCAAGTTCTTCTTTTGTTGCATATGGTGAATAGTGGTGAATGCAGTTGAATAATTATCTGTTGCTGTAAATCTATGAGTTCTGGTATTGTATCTCAGCATCAGCAATACCTGAGGGTTGGGGCATATCATATAACCACACATGGTATGAGAGACTACTAATGGAGACCCCGGAAGCAGGATTTTGTCCTCTGTGTTTTATAGTTAATATAATGATTAAGTTTACAAAATTTACATATAATAATATCAGACATATCCATGATCAGACAGGAGTTAGGTGTCTTCCAGTCCAGGAATGAATGGTTTCTTACTGTATATTTACCAGCAGTAACTTAAACTTCTCGGGAAATGAGACTACATTGGAGTCTCACAGACTTGAGATCTACTTCCTGAAACTAGAACTCATATTTTTTCATTTTCAATGTAATGTTGTTACTTACCTGATGTTAATTCCCTTTCACTAGTTATATAGTTAGCACCTGTGTGCTAAGTAAGACCCTATCACATGGCTGAGGAAGGAACTTAGAGCTCCAGATCTCACCATCACAGTATCATTCTGTGAATTCCCTTCAGTTTACCACTGTTATTCATATCATTATTACAAGTGCATTTTCTGTTGAAAGGCACAGTTTTCTTGAAACTGACAGTTCTTACAGCAGAATGTTAGTGAATGAATCAGTTTCTCATCTTTAGCAGGAAAATTTGAAACAGTCACATTTCAATTGAGATGTTTGCATACTGTAAGCTCTGACTCTTCAAAATAAAATGTTCCTTTTTGATTGACCCTGTCAACACTTTTCATCTTGGAATATAACTCCCAGGATCTTTTTACTGTGTGAAATCTTTTGTTATTTCTGTTCTTAGTCTCATTTTGAGATGAAAACAAACATCCAAACATCTGCATTTCTTGCAAATTCTACTTTTTGAATTGCTCATGTTGTTACCATCTTGTCCGAAAGAGGGGAGCAGACTGGATGACAACCTTAGAGATGTAATTGTATCAAGACCAGGGCCAGTTACCTTACCATACTCTGCTGTTCTGCATACAGAGACCGAATCAGCACTATTCTTTACTGTCAAAGTACAAAGCTAGAGTACACTTACGAACATCAGTGATGCCATTGCCATGTAATTGGGATCACAGTATGAGCACACCTCAAGACAGCCTACTGGCAATAGCAGATGATAAGAAAGTCAGACCTCTGGACCAGTGCTTTATAAAGATATTCCATATGGGAAGATGATGTTCTTTCAGTAGCAAAGATCCCTTCTGTGCCCAGCATCCCAAAGAGCATCCTTTGAAGCTTAGGCATGAACGGTGAGCATCTGATCTCACTTGCACTCCATAAATTTAGAGCCTCTCCCATCGATTTCCACAGAGTTACTCCAGTATAAATCAGAATCACTCATCAGAATCTGTCCTACTGTCTAAAACTCGCTCATAAATTAAATGCCAATGTTTGTTAGGATGGATTTTCTAGCAAAACCTCTCACTTTTAAAGGGGAGCTCTCTGACTTCATTAGCATTGGGTCAGATCTTCAGGTAATTAAAGAAACATGTGGCATTTTGACCTAAGCTACCTCCTATAATTTCCAGATGCCTCCTTCTAAGGTGATCAAAGAAAACAAGGCCTCTCTCACAATCAAGATGTCACACTGTCAACAGTGCAGTTCAATTCTTAAATTGATTCTGCCTTTTTGTTACTACAGGTTACTCAAGCTCCATGCTAATATACATTCTCCCGCAAATAAACAGACAGCAAGAAATGAATAACATTCATTTGCTGTAATTACAGTCAAGACTATGTTAATCTTAAATCTCTCAAACAGCACATGTGATGCAGATTCCAGCTAAATAAATATTAATCCTGCTTTTTCTGTTTGTCCCACAAGGCTATAGCACAGAAAAATCAGAGCAGTTGAAAGCATTTCTCTAGTCTCACAGGGAAGGCAGGGCCGATCTGTCAGCAGTTGCAGGCAAGCTCAACCTCTTCAGGGAGGACTTCTAGCTGAACACAGTGCAATTGCCATTTCTGAACTTCCTGAACAGAAACTTGCCAATGACAACTTGATTTCTCTCTAATCACATGCATATTTGTTTATAAATATATATAAGCTTACACACACACTTTCACATTTCCAAATCAGCTGATGACAAGAAGATTTTATCAGGCACATGAAGATTGTTTTATTGCAAAGTCAGCTGAATTTTTAGCTTTCTAGAGAAAAACAAAAACAGGCTCCTAAAAACTAAAGGCATCTGTCTCTTTCAGGCAAAGAAAGTAACTTGTTATGGTTGGGGGGTTGTTTTGCTTCTTTTAACACCTTTAAATTGTTCCTCTCTTTCTCCTTAGAAGGCAAAGAAGTGCAGCACTTTAACTAGCCAGGGTGGTGCCGTGATTAGTTAAGCTGAGCAGAACCACCTAATCCTGCCGTGGTTGTCGGGGGCTCTCCAGACCACGGCATCTAATGACATGACATTGTTACCACATCTGAGTCTCAGCATGGTGGCTTATTAAGGCTCATGCAGAGACAGACCTAATTTTCAGGCTCTGCATTCTTCGTTGAAGCACAGTAATTTAATCACAGAGAGCTATGACTGCTCCCGAGAACACGGTGAGCAGGTATTGTTCCACAATGACAAGCCACGAGCAGCCATAGGAAATGTCAAAAAAGATAACCAAACCTTGTTTTTAAATCGATATTTTGATGTCAGTGAATAGCCACATGCTAATTTTCTGATGCATTACATAAATGACAGCACCTCTGCTCTGCCTAGGGGAATTGCTTCTTTCTAATGATGTAACTCTGGTTAAGAAACAACCAAAACAATGTAACTGAAATTGCAGTGTGGTCAGTGCCAGTTTTCCAGAAGTAAGGGCAGTTCTCATCATTCAGCCAATCTCTCTTTGATTTGCTCAGAGGGCTAGAAATGTGCAGGAGGGATTTACCTTATGGAGGCCAGAGAGATAGGCAATATGATCGTTTGCATCCTTTGAATTAAGCATCATCAATGCACAGAACATTCGTGGCATAAGCAATTATTTTAGCAATTCTAATAATTATAATTATCATAAAGATATTCCAAATATTTTGCACAACTTGTAGTGGAGAGTGATTTTCATTGCTTGTATTTCATAAGCAGATACTTTTAAAGTGTAGTCTGCTGCTATCTCTGGAGTCTGAGACTGAGATGACAAGAGTAAGAACATACTCCAGTATGTATTTTTCTTTCAGAGTTATGTAAGTTTGTAAGTTATGAATAAAATCTTGGCCATGGTGGTTATTATCACTGAAATCAGTAAAGGCAAATTTTCATTCCATGTGTCTAAGCCCTCTGAAAGCTTTCTTATCCCATTGTTCAATTTTACTCTCATGTACCTTCTATTCAGTATTTACTTCACTGAAATCAAAGGAAATAGAGTACAGGAGAGGTAACTCTTCATCTGACTTGAAGAGATATTTTCTAGTCTCAGCTCATCTGAATGAGTAACAATTAAGTATCATTAAGTGTCTCAGAGGATAACATCTGCTACAAGATCTTTGGCTTGCTGTTGATTGCATACTCCAGAGCTGGATGGAACAGGGAGGTGGAAGGGTTCACTACAATATTTAATAGAGGGTTGTGCCCCTTTTGACTGGCGACACCACCAAATGAAGTCATCACTGTAAATGGGAGAGGCATTGCTGCACTATGCTGAAAAGAACAAACCAGATCTAAAGACTGCAGTGTGGCCAGGCTTTCCTTTTCCCTACACATCTGCCAATCCAGAGTAACCTTTTAGCAGCATATGAAGGAGATCAGTTTCCCTCCCCGTGTATAATATTTACCTCATTCTGCTTCTCAGTTTAGGCATCTTACGTGAAGGAGGTGTTTAATCCAGTCCTGACTTGGCTGTGGTCTTTTATCCTACCAGGCACAAGCAAGGGGAGAAGACTGGGGGGTTTGCTAGCACCTGAGCTGTTTTGTATCAATAACCCCTTGTTGCACTTTAGCACATGAGCATTTATATTGGGGTCCTAAGGTCACATATTTAAATACAGCTTGAGGGGAAACCTAAACATAATCCATCCACTAACACTCTGGCTGTGCATGTGTGAAGACAACTTTGGAAGCAGGATCTGTTCAAAAAGACCACAGCAGACTGTCCTCGTTTGGCAAATTAAGTTCTTCAACTGTGCTGTGGCCAATGTCCAAAACACTTTTTCTAGACATATGGGCATTAATTAAAAAAGCCTCATACAACACCACACTTTACTTTATGATATGTCGTTCCAGTCCTTGTTTCCAAACCCATCCTTCTCATGTACATGACATTGTACTACTTCAGTGATACATGCATCTTTTATGCAATTCCCCTCCTGTCTCTCCTCCCCACACACATACACAGTAGTGGCAATAGGATTCAGAGTCCAGCTTTAGAAACATAGATAAATTCTTACCAGCCAACTCCACCACCGTTGTGCAGTGCGACCCAGGTCGCTCCTCTGAACGCATCTCCTACAAAGTTCTGTACCGCCATGTCTAGGAGGAGAGCAGAGGTGTTATGGATCTGACATGCTGCATTCACTATTTTGTTGTGATGCTCACTTCATCCCCTGACACCTTGATTATGGCTGTGTGAAGGCAGTGTTGAAGGCAGGTTTTACTCACAGCTTCTCTCACAGACATACGCTGAACATCTCATTCGTGGGAGGAACAGGTAAGAGAGATTTTTCCTACCACTCTTTGTTCCTACACTGGAGGAAGCAAATGCCAGTTTCACATTGTGGTTTGTGAGGACTCTGATGCTTTCTGTATCTGTGATCCAATTCAAGAAGTTGAAGAACATACCACTTCTCATCTGGGATATCCCTCCTCAGGGTGAAAAGAGATACAACCCTCTCCTTTGGGAATGCCTCAGCTGTGGAAGAACAGGCTGGACACATCCATGGGGAGGATTTCAAAATGGGGGGGGGGGGGGGACACACGATGACACACATGGAAAACTACACACCTTGCAGTTCTCAGAAGCCTGAAGTATTTTCAACTAAGACTGCAGAGTTAATTCAGCCCTGTGCAGAAAGCCAGTCTAAAGCTAAGGAGTAGCATTTTTGGGAACACAGTTGGGATGAAAGTGGTATTGGCCCTGATTCTCTGGATATGGGAGAATTTTACCCTGAACAAAAACAGCTAAAATCACACAGGAGGTTTATTTTGTTTTTTAAAAATGAAGAAAAATAATTTAGCAGACAAATGTAATTTGACTAATGTCAAATGCATGATTTCCACTGAAATGTCCACTAGAATTTTCTATATTCGCTACAATATGTGCTAAAACATATACCCAGAGTGGTGGAAAGAGGTATGCAAAGAGGATAACAGTGTAAAGTTTACTGAAAACATTTGTCCAAATTTCATAGATCATTTTGCTGTGCTTTTAACAGCAAAAAATAAGAGACAAACAGCAATATCCCCACCAGTGACATTTGCAGACTTACTGTAGCTACGTGTTTGATGGAAAAATGAGTTTACTTGAGCACTAATATATGTTAAACCCTGTCAAAAGCCCCATTATGGCATCTTTTATCTGGCATTATGTCACTTTAATGACCCAATTATAATAATTACAGTGCTGTCAGGAGGGAATGGTAGAGATCAAACTACCCATATTCTAAAACGTACAGATTTCTTCCTCAGCCACTAGCATAAGAGTGGAGGTTGAACAAGGAGCATGCAAGTAGACTAACAATGTAATAATGTGCTGCTCCTTGTCTTTGATAAAGGTCACTAACTGTGCAAATGTCTGTGCTGAAAAACACTCTGCAGAACAGCAATGACCCATGTTTGCCAAGGATCAGGCTGAGGTACTTACTGTAAAACAGACAAGCAAACACTCTGGAACATTCCTGTGTACCAGAGAGGAGCAAATTTCACCAGAACCAGCTCAAATGTGGTGTTAAAACAACATGAAAGAAGGGAAAGAGGAACATCTAAGATTTTATTCTATTACCTCCAGAGGGTCATTTGGTAAAACAGACTTAGACCTGGTTTCAAAGACTAGTGAAATCAGTGGTCAACAGACTTTAGATAAGCCCTCGGAGAAGGCAAATGGTTCATGTAAATCACAAAATACAATGAAAAACACAGCATGATGAGCGTTGGGGCTTAGCAAGACTTGTTTCTATTGCCCACTTCTGAAGGCATTGCCTGAGGTTTACTTAAGTTGCTAAGCCCTTTGGTGGAGACATTACTTTGGATTGCTGTTCTCTGTGCAGCTGCAGCATTTTCTCACAGCTTGTCAGAACTGAAAATTATTCAAGGCATCTGTCCATCTGGCCTATTAGAACTAGCCAACATATTCAAAAAGTGTTGAAGTAGGACTGATAGACACAGCTAAAAGCCTCATTTCATCAAGAAATCCAGTTAAGATAGCAGGGAACTTTTATCCTTAAAATTGAGCCATAAATTGGTTCTATTATGAATTCCCATAATGGAAGTAATTCAATATGCTTAGCTACCTCTATCATAATTTCTCCTTCTACAGCAGCTTGTATCCTCCAATCTCACACCACTTTGCAACTGTCAGTTCATGACATGAGGAAACACTACCGGGCTAAAGCTATTATCATAATTTACACTTTATGGATGGAAAATTGAGGAAGATTTAGGTTAAAAAATGCTTAGTTCATCATTCATTTTTTCAGGTCTCCAATCTGATATTTCTTGGGTTTATTTTACTAAAGCATAATTTCACAAACCCAAAAGCAGGGTCTGGTTAGCTCAGGTCGGGTGTACAGAATTAAAGGCTCCTTTTGTATAGCAAACCTACATGACTTGCCCACAGTCACACTGTAAGTGAGCAACAAGCCTTGGAGTCTAATCCAGAACACCTGACATCCATTCTTGTGCTTTTATTATCAAAGTATGTTCCCTTATGACCAGAAAAGTTCCCTTCAGAAACTCCAGACTGTTTCCTTGAGTCCTTGGGCAATGAAATGAATGCCACTGTGTTTGCTTTAAGCAAAACACTATTATAGACCTGATTTTTATCTTGTGGATCCCAAGGAAATAGGGCTGTAATTCTGCTCAGATCACCTCTTTGAAACAGTGAGGTGCAAAAGTAAAATCAAACAGAAAATACAGTCCTCTGAGACAGACTCCTTTCCACTTACATTGAGGTAAATCTGGTGCATCTTCCCTGAATTTTCAGTATTGTTCTGGACCTCTCCTATTTAACTAGCTCCACATCCATGTCTGTATCACTATTAAATCTCACAAAGCTTCTCAGGAAATCTGATTAATTGGGATTAAAGAGTTAAACAAAAGCATTTTTAAAATGTTGCATAAAAAAACAATTTATCTTTTAAAGCAATTTCCTTGTTTGCCCAGACAGACAGACAAGCCCCAGCTGCTCTGCTGACCCGCACAAAAGGCTGATCCATCATAAATGTTCGACGTTTCTCTGTAAGGACTGTCGGTCCCACTCACATCATGATGATCTCGGCTGAGCACTACTGGAGCCTGCAAAAAGCCAAGGACGAGAAAATTGAATCCTTCATGGACTGTCAACGCTACCGAGGATCATCATTTGCTGGGTTCACTTCTGTCTCAAGTAATTTCAAACCTCAGCTTTGCCCCCTCTTCCAAACTCTCTGAAACACCTTATCTGTTATTACAAAACAGTTGTTCACATACTGTTCATGAAAGCCACCGTCCTTTCGTAACTAAGAGCTTGTTTTTATGCCAGTGGCATCCTCAAAGGAGGGCAGGGAAAGAGGGGAAGTAGTAAGGTTATTTAATCTGAGCATTTCTTTGCTGAAATTTCAAAGTCATTTCAGTATGCAAAAATCTTCATTCAAAAATAGTTCTTGTTTGCTGTTGAAAGTTAAAACTAACAGTAAGAAGTTTTACACATTTGCTTTCCTTTGGAAGACTTCAAGACTAAAAATAAGTTAGCAATGAAAATCAGCAATTTCATACAGCTCAAGTCCATTCTTGATCTGGAATTTAACTGACAGTATGAATCTAGATCAGCTTGCAGGTCTTCGTTATCATTTGCCATGCACAGGGTTTATATAAGGATCATTCACTCTTGGCATGGTGTGGTCTGGAATTAACTGGCTCTGTTTTATGCTGGCAGTGAATTAGAAAATCACTGAAAATAGACATGAGCACCCAGCCTGCAAGAGGAGGAATGGAGATTTGCAGAAACAAAAAAAGGATGCAACAAAATCCAAAGGGCCTGGGAGTCTGACCTTGTCAGTCATAGCTCAAAGGGAGTGCTCTCTCTGGTCAGGTTTATTTTTTGAGACTAGCTTGCAGTGATATTAATTTTGAGTCCTGAGGTCAACAGCATTTGAAATATTTTAACAAACATTTTCTAAGTAACTAAACCTAGACCTTTTCTAGCTGGAATCCATTCTAAGTTTTACTTGAGTTTGCCCCTTTAAAAAGGGTAATTGTAATTCAGCTATAAAAGAGATGGAGGCGAATGAGTGGCAATGCCTTGGTTCTGACGCTGTTGTACACATGGAAAATAACAGATATAATTACTGAGTGGTGCCGACATCTACCTACAATACTCATGAAGAACCCAGAAAATCCCAGTAACAATCTCGTCCACAGTTTGTACTTTTATACCACTACATATGGCCAATGGGATTTTACACAGACGAGTAAGGTATTATGCACTAGAGTGGCAATGTTAAGCCTAACGATTTTCTTCATCCACATATGTAATGCAAATGAAAATTGACTGCAGAGCTGACTGGAGCCATAATATGGCTGAAAGTGAGGGATAGAGAGTAAGAAGCACTGAGGGGTGTCACCGTCTCTTGTTACTTTCAACATCTGTGACACTGCTAAAGAGCTGTAGTCCCCGCCTCGTGTTTTCAGCAAATCACAGCATAATATGTTGTGCATGTAGATGTCCAAATAGAAAATAAGGCAGATTCCCAACATGAAATATATGGTAGCATATTTCAGAGAGTCTCTCTTCTGTTACATAGTGCAGTATTGGTGACAGGCAGAGAGGACTGATCCACGCTAACAGAATACTGGTCACATGTAAAAGGCCAGCACTTCTGATCTCACAGATTGAAGCTTTCTTCCTTCCCACCTGCCACCCCAGTCTCAGATATTAAACACAATTACCAGACCATATCAAGACAAAAAAGACAAACCTTAATCCTTCCTTCAGAAATTGCTCGATTAATAGCCACGGCTATAGACACACGACCCTTCTGATCAGAATATAAGATTCTAGCTTGAGAGCCAACAACCTGGAAAACAAAAATGCCAGCGTGATAAGGTTCTCTGTGCAACGGGCTTATCTTTCAGCCCCAGATAAATGGAGTCACAGGAGTGACCCCTTCCCTTTTGTAGGAGAAAGTGCAGATTATTTCCTCGACAACATCCAGCTTCCAGAAAAAAAAATAAATTAAAATCCCTCTTCGAACTGAGTTTTATCTTCATCCACACAATCAGTGAGATGTATTTCTGTATTCTTCTGCTACTATCCAATAAATCCCATTTTTTAAATCCACCTGATTGCTAGGCTATAATCCCCCTATCAACAAATCCCTTATCAACAACTGAGAAGCAGAGGTTTGGAACTGGCAATGTCGGGCTGGAAGGGAAGAGAAATATGGAGACGAAGAATTGCAAAGAACATCTGTCCTGCACAGCTATGTTCGTCTCCAGCTTTTACCCCACAGACCAATCTGGTTTCCAGATGAGGAGAGAACATATGAGCCCTACAGTGTTACTGGTTATCTTCACAGTGAGAGCCTGTCCTAAAAGAAAAACAAAGGGTGCTTCACTGGCATCCTGCTTCCCACAGCATAAAAGGATGGCAGTTCTTTGGCCTCATCACCTGTTTTGAGAAGGGTACTGGGAACTGCAGGCGTGAAGAGGTTGGGCCAAAGCAATGACAAGAAGGACATTTTGAATAGCACTCTGAAGGAAAAGTATTTACAAATGAGGTGGAGGGTTAATCATTTATGTGTTTCACTCCAGACAGAAGACTAGATATTGCTGGACTATTTGAACACTTCCAGATGAGGAAGTGAGGGGAAATAACTGCTTCAGCTAACCCTAAAACCCTGCTGTGGAGAGAGGCTTATGTTATCAGCCCTGGGAATTACAGCCAGTGTTTTAATTCATGTCCATTCCTGCTTTTCACTCCAGCATTCAAAAACTGCATTCTGGACCAGGAATGGTCACATGTGCCAAAGGAGGCTGTGCACTTACCAAGCTGTGCCTGCCAGCTTCCCGAATCCAGCGGATGTTGTCGTGGTACTGCTGCTTCACAGATGTGCTCACTTGCAAGAGAAAGCAAGAAATAAAAGAGGTTTTGAAAATGAATGCAATATGCTCTAAATTTAATTTAATTCATCTGACAGCACTAGGAAGTCAAATTCTACTCTCAGATACAAGCATGCATATAGGAAATGATATATAGAATCCTCTGTGCAGCTGATGCAGTAACTGGTACCATGTATTTAGAGAAAGGTATGAGATGTTGCCCAGGAGACAGCTGGAACAACAACTCTCATCCAGATCTTTACCAAACTAAATTAAACCTTGAAATATGGGTTATATGTACTGTTCATTTTTGGTCACCTGGCTTGCTGCCTACTAAATGCCAATCCCTTTCTGAGCCTTTGCTAAATTCGTAGCTTTAGCAAACTCCATGACATTGGGTGCTACAGTCCTGTCTTGCATCAGGTAGTAAATGACTCCTTTGAGTCAGATAGCAGAAATTTTCAGAAGCAGCTGGCAATACGTACTTGAGGATAAGTTATACCAATGCTGGGACATAGATTTATAGCACAGCAGTTGCTCTGTACTAAATGGATCACATGAATGTTTTTATCCCAAGATAAAAATAAGGTCTTTTATCCTACAAACTGAGGTATGTTGCTTCACATTACCATGAAGCACAAACTGCACAGAAAAACTTATTACGGATTAGCCCCTTTATGTGTAAATCCACCCTACACCTTGTTAGATATATATCTTATCTAATTGTTTTATATTCTCCAGATTCTCATCTCATTTATATCTGTGCCATTCCATCTCAATCAGCCAAACCAGAGGAGTAAGAATAAAGATACTCGACGTGGAAAACAGTGAAATATCAGTCAGATACACAGTGACCTCAGTACAATCAGCTGCCTCCAAAGGGATGGCACCATCTGTAGCAAGTGAGTAACAAAAGGGAGAGGGGGTATGGAATAAGACAGGAGCATTGTCTTACTGTCTTAATTTGAGGGGCTTTTACAGTTATGCCTTTTTACACAGTCTGAGTGTGAGCTCAGATGAGGTTACAGCAGCTGAAGAAGTTACTGCCTGTAGGATCTTCCTCTATGGGCTACACTATATCACATTACCTTGTCCTGAGAGATATGGTCAGCTACCAGGGCTCAGCTGGCATTTGGCAGCAAGTTAAGCCACAGTGATTTGCTCACATATTGGAGCTTCAAGTTATAATAATTTCTGCAGATGCCAAGATAGCATGTTCCCCATCACTTTCCAGCTCTCACTCATTTTCAAGTCAAATTATAATGTACACATAACTGATGTTCAAAAGTCAGTCAAACTGGAAAAACTGCACACTGCAAACTTGAAATTGTCCCTGGTAACTGAGAAGAGTATTTAGAATACTGCCTTTCCACTAGGCAATATGTCAGCAGATATGCCTAGTAAAACTAGAAAAAAAAAAAAGAAGAAAAGGCAAGGTACTCATATTTATTCCAACTTGTTAAAGGGAGGTGTAAAATATGCTCATTCCTGCAGAGGCAGGCCTTTCATACAGAGAGCTTTAATGATTCTAAAAAGACCTGTCAGTGCTTTAGGGGTTGGCTCCAAGTGGTGGCTTCTATACTGTGCAATAAGGATTAACATGTCACCTCTTAGCTTCACAGGGAGTGAAAGATGAAATACCCCTTAATGCTGTCATACTAGGATTGTGCTGCCACTCATAAGCTTTAAGGAAGCATATTCTAGAAGGTAATGGGTAGTATTCACTTCGGTCATTATAGATCTTTAACGAGAGTTTACTGAAGTTACTCTGGAAAACTGAATAAAGAATTAGTTCCTTTCTATCACTTTTATAAGCTATCTCAGAGAGTACCTACCATATGTTACACATCACAGAGCACAAACTTACAGAAAAAATTTTACCTTTTGTTAATTCTATAGAACATATCCATAAGAGAAGACAGATGAGAATACTGGCTACAAGGACATATCTCAACACAGCACATCTGTGCCAGCTCCAATAAATAGTCATATTCTCTGTCCTAAACCGTGGTGTGTCCAAAGTTGGAATTTATCAGTTATCCTGGGGAAGTGAAGAATCCTCCCTTTTATTTAGTCTTACTTCCTGCAATTGAAACAATCGTACAGCTCTTTCTAGAAAGACCTTAACTTTAGAGTAGCTCTGTGTCTCTCATTTGTTAAACTGCTGCTTCCAACTCCTCACCACAACAGGAATATATTGTGAAGCCAGGCAAGCTCCTGTGTTGCTTCTGGTATTTCATAGGCCCTTGTACTTATTTAGGGTTTAAAAGATACTAGAAAGCATTGTGTACTCAGAGGAATAGTCCTCATAAACACAGAGATTGGCTCCCTTAGCTCTTGGGAGATGTGTATTGCTGTTATGCATCAGCTCAGTCTTCAAACTACCACAGAGCTTGTAAATCCAAGTTACACTCCAATCATCAGTGCTGCATCTCTTGTGCAAAGACCAGCTTAAAAGCTCGAGTACCTTAGGAGTAGAAGCAGATGACAACACTACACTGGACTTTTTCACAGTTTGTGAGGTTTAAGTGCAAAAATTAATCTCCACAAAAGGAGAAGGATGATTAACATTGGACTCAAGGCCAGGTCAAAAGTTTAGACTTGGAATACAACAAACTTCAGCTCTGTGGAATTTTCACTCAGCCTTCGTAACAGATTCTTTTATAAAATTCAAAGGTAGGTTCAGATTTTAGATGTATGTGTGTGTGAGGATATCCAGACTCTGGAATTTGGTCCAAGCCCAGGTCCCATAGGAAGTGGACAGCAAGTGGAATACTCAAGAACATGAATTCATGAATGGCTGTTTATTTTCCGGCCAGATTCTGTTTTCATTTCTCTTTGAAATCCTATTCCCATTGTCTTGCCAAATTCAACAGCAAATCCACTAATAACCCTGACCTTAAGCCTGTTTTTACCTGTTGGGATTTTTTAAATGTCATTTTTTGTTTAAATTAAGAATATACATGCAAGAGTTCAGTGATTTTTGTCTGTGGAAGAGATTTCTCTCCCCAGCTTTACATTACCATCTATATAAACACCCACATACTATTGTACACACAGTAACTGATTCATTTCTTAGTCTTGCAATGCAAACCATCCAAAAGTCACGCATCAGGTAAATCTTGAGAGAAGATTACTGTAGATTGAAGTACATGGCAGAAAAATTACTGGACATTTTTGTTGAAGATATATCCAGCACTGTAGCACTGGATTTCACCCTCTCTTTAATTAATCGGATGGACCAGGTTTAAAAACATGAAAGTTTTGATATCCATAAGAAAAAGTAGGCACTTCTGGGTCATTGCATTAAAAACACCTCATGCTTTAGTCCTATTTCTTGAAGATAACTCCTAAGGAAATTTTAGGAGAACAGACATAACTAAGGACCTTGCAGGGTCAGACTCACTCTATCAATAATTAACCTCTTGGGAGGAAGAGGAGGCTGGACACCTGCCTTACATTATAGGAAGACAACAGTAATTTTGTTTCATATAAGAGACATATCTGAATATGGTATATCCTTTTCAGAAATACCACTCTAGATCCTCACAATGCTAACTGTCCCAGAACAAATAGGAAAACATTCAAAATTTTCACACTTCTATTCATATTTCAGTTATGTCTTTCTTGAAAGAAGGAACAAATATTTCAATATTACCAGGTAAAAATATTATGCTCTCCTCCCCATAAAATATGCTTTGGATTTGTGATCCAGTTCCTTCTGATTCCTTCCTTGATTCTGAGAAGCACAAAGCTCCACTCTCTGGAAATAGAAGAGCTGAGGACTTCAGTGCTAGGGGACAATGACACTTAAGACTTTGAGTTACTGTAAAAGTACACAAAGAAAGGGAAAGCAGTAGGGCCTTCCACTACAGCCTGGGAGATTAGGATTCATGTTTGCTGACACAAAATTATCCTTGTCTCCATTCATAAGCAGGGAATAACAGTAATAGCCCAGTGTCAGGGATATGGAAGACTGAAATACAGTGTAATTCCTAGATACTGTGGTAGCATACAGAGACATGCAGATATTACAGATTGGTTCCACCAGTGAGTAGAAACAGCTTTCAATTTATTAACAAATGACAAAAAAGGAAGACCTCAAAATTGTAATCACAAATAAATGACACTGGATGGAGCACCACATCCATGAAATCTGATTTTCCTGCCACTGATCTGCCTGCTACCCTCTTAAAAACTTCCCTAGATTCCCTTGCCTCATTCACCTGTGAGACAGGGGCAAAGAAATGTGACTCCTTTAAAAAACTCTTGGAGACCTGTTGATGAAAGAGACTGTTTGTCTTAAAGTTTCAAGGTGACAAAGTGCAGGAAAATCTTAAATGAAAAGAAAGGCTCAGCCAAAATTGCAACAGTAGCTTTGGGATCAATAACCTCTCTACATGGTGTTTTTACATTTCCCCTACTGGTTACACTGATTACAGGATTTTGGAGAACAGCAAGATTTCCTGCCCAGATGGAACAGGCAAGATATTGCTTTCTATGGTTTCAGACAAAAGCTAACACACATTTTTCAACTCTCAGTTTCATTTTCTTCCCCAAAGCACCCCCAGTGATGGGGGCATGGATGGTGTCTTACCTCCCTGACGTATAGAGTCTTCCAGCACAGACATGGCAATTGAGTCAGTGGTAGCAAGATCCTGTGGGTCACCTGAGGTACAGACCCAGCGGAATGGCCCAAATCCCAGGGAAAAAATGTCCCTGGGAAGAGAACATGTTTCATTAAGAGATAGTTGAAATTCTTTCCTTATTTATCCTGGCTGCTAGCAGTGCTTTTCTTTCATTAGCTGGAGACGGAAGAATTTTAAACATTTTCAATGAACTAATCTAAACAGAAGCATCAAGGAGCATTAATTGAGAAATTAAACAGGGCTGTTTCACACAGCCATTGACTGCTGTATAAAAATACAGTCGGGCCAGAATTTTGAAAGAAAATTTGGGCAGTTCAATCAAATGTGCATCATCAGATGAATTGCAGTTTTCTTTGGTTTCATCAAATATACTCTCCCTGCTGCCTGGTCTTTTTGTCCTTAACTCACGCTAGCTCTGAGTGCATCTGCACTACCAGACAAGTGCAGGTTCTGAACAAATGCCTGAGTCCAGACTCGTTTGCTGTCCACATTGTTTACACACAATAGTAAGACACGCTTCAGTTGAGTTCCAGGAGAATAGATCTAATCCAGATAGTGCCTTACTCTATGTTCAAACTCTTATTCACATGGCACCAGCAAGTTAAGGACGAGTCAGAGGCAAAAGGTGTTATAAACTCAGTCCCTCAACAGATCTCCCGAGCTCAGCTTTTTATACAGGTATGCACAGCTCAGGTAAAAGGTACAGTTGGCAACATGGGCAGAACAGTCTCCTATTTCAGACGTGCTTTTAACTTCAGTGTAGCCATAGGCTTTGATGATTTGGAATTGAGCTCTACTGTTCTGAAGAGACAAGCTCTTAATTTTTAGCATCTAGAAGTAAAGTTGCATATAGTTACAGTTTTAGGCTGTGACTTGGCTATTCTGTTGAATGGAACTGCTTAAGGAAAAAAGATGCAACAAAAGAGAAAATGAAGCTATTCATGTAAAAAAGTGAAGAGTTTTGATTTGGCAATGTTTTAGCTTACTATTCACACATCCGGTGTCTGCTTTCATAAGACCTTTTAGTTCTAAGAAGAATAAAGCTTTACACCAAATTATCAAGACGTACCATGCCCTTCAGGACAAAATATTAGCAAAACCTCTGCTGTCAGAGTTTACTTATATTAATCACATACAACATGTCCCTCCAGGTTTAGTTCTTCTTTTCCCCTGTAAACAGGAAAATGCAAGGAATAACTCTAAGGAAGCCAATAGAAAACATGAGCATGATGCTTACAGCCAACAGAACATCTTCCTAAACTACACTGGGCATTATTCCAGAGCGGAGAAAAGTAAGACTAACTCTAGCATAACACCTGTGAGATCAATTTTCCTACTACTACTCTTGAGTCCCTTTCATCATTTATAGTACATTGCAAGATTTTCACTAAGTGGAATCTCTGTAGTACTCTCCTCCTAAACAGAGGGAATCACAAGGCACCTGGGTGCTTTATTTCAAACTCTCCCCAACATACCCCATGATGTGCTGAACATATGAAGGATATCGAAATTCTGTTTTATTGGCTCCTCTTTTCTCAACATCAGCACCTATAAAATAATTTTAATAGTCAGTGATTTGATGAAGAAAAATTCTAAAATATAAAACTAGACTGCACCTGGGTTCCCATAAAGGCTCTACCTCAGCTACAGGGAAGGTCAGGGATCTCAGAGAACAAGAGAAAGAGAGAGACTAAAGAGTTAATATAACACAGTGTTCAATCCTATCCTACCAAAATAAACAGCTGGGAAGATGCATGGAGGATAGTCTTGTTTCTACCTAACAGCTCCAGGTTCTACTCACCAGCTCTTTGAGCTTCCAAGAGAAATGCATTGCCATAATCCCAAAAAAACATGCCCTTATCAGCTAGTTTGTTAATAGCAGCCACATGTCTCTTCAGACTGAAATAAAGAAGGCAACAGTTATTCTTGAGATTGATAAAATATCAAAAAGAATAATACCATGAACTCACTAAAGGCATGGGAGCAGAGGAAGACAGATGAAACTGAAAGACCCTGGAGAAATTGAGACATAAACCCATAAAATATCAACTGAGATCCTTTCAGTCCCTTGCATGTGTTATCCCCAAATCTTGATGTGATTTACTGTCATTAAGGTAACTTCATTAATTAGCAGAGAGGGGTCATGTCTTTCAGCAAAGAAATGTAGCCAGCTCTGAGGATGGAAGGCAATAACAAAAAACAACCTAGACAAAACAGCAAAACAGTTTAAGAAGTTCACAGAGAAAGTGAGCGGAGACGGAAACACCAAGAATAGCTAAACCTCACTGTTCTGGCCCCTGCCTTGGCCAAACCAGCCCAATTTTCCCTTTGTTTCCAATAGTGGACCATATTCCAGGACTGCGCTCTGTGATACCATTTCCACTTAATATTATCTAGTTCTTATCTCAATGCATAGTCACATCTGAAGTTGTACATGCATAGATGTAACTTCTTGAACCTCTGTAGAGGTAAATCAGTGCTTAACAAATGAAATTGGAATTTTTTTAGGTCATACATATCTTGTCAGAAATTACTCCTTCCCAGAAGTTTACCTTTCTGTTACCTTTGTCTTCGAGTAGTATGATGTAGAATTGGGAAACTGGAAAGGTTCTTGTAGGTATCTCATTCAAAGTCAAATATATTATATGCCCATATTCTACCTTCTATTGGAAAAGGTATCCAGCAGGAATGTTCAAGGTGAACGAAACCAGAGTGGGAGCCATAAAGTTTCAAAAGTATCAGTTGAGAACAACACTACAGCTTGTTGCCTCTGTTCCACTGTTCTTTATTTATATAAAAATTATGCCAAATTGCTCCCTTTATAATGTCCAACTCCAATTTCACTTGCAAAGTTGTAAATTAGGAGTAGCTCCCTGAAATTAAGATACTAAACAGAATTTAAATTACAGCTTCATCAAGCTGGGAGGAGTGACTGGGGGAGATTGTCCCCTCCTTATATCATTTCCTAAAAAACAATTACTGGACACAGCTGGAATCATGGTAGGCTAGATGGACTTTCTGACTTACCTATTGGGTTTTGATGCTATATTCAGTGAACCTAAACCGACTGGTAGACTATTTGGAATTGTACTTATTTTCCCAGATTTTAAAAACTTAATGCAATTTAGGAATTTACAGAAGTGAAATAAATCATTAGTGTTCATACTTCTGATCTTATACACTAGAGACTACTCCTAAAAAGGTGGGTAAGGACTGTTTGCCAGATTCTGAGTGATAACTATATAAGTACAAAGTCAGGAGTTACCAGTACTGTAGCTCTACCCCAGATTTCTACTGAAATATTGAAGAACAGAAACTTCTTGTGAGAAAGACAAAGATCTGTTCACTTACAGAGCAACTAAATTTAAGGTTCAAAACATGTATTGCCAGAACATTTACCTCTCTTGTACCAGGGTCCGGAACTTCCCCGGATTGGTGGAAAGGAGCTGCTTTGCTTCCTCAAAGCCAAGCTGTACCGGATAATATCCCCCGCTGAATGGGTTATGACACGAAGTTTGGTCAGATCCCAGATCAACTAGCAGCTCTCCTGTTGTGTCCAACTCATATACTAGCCTCTCCCTGGGGAAGACAATGAATGGAGTGTTTGAACAGAAGCTGTCATTTCACATTCTACCTCCTCTTTCAGGTGAACATCTTCCATCCCAAGTGGTTGTTTATAAAGGTATGCCCTTGGCAGGCTTGGTCTTTGTTTTAAGATTCAGAAGGTGAGAAATGATAGCGACGAAGATTTAGGTGCAACTTTTATAATTCACATTTACCTGTGCAGGAATGCTGATAGACGAGTCAGATACCAGTATGACATACCAGTCTTATTGGTCAGTCTCAATCCTTTGTATATGGTCTGGCAGCAAGACTTATCACTGAATAAAGCCTCAAGAGTGCCAGAATTTCTATCCATCATATGATTACTTTTAGTCAATCAGTAGTTCAATACTTCTATTCCTCACTGAAGTCAAAGACATTTTCTTGCTATCCAATTAGCAAAAGCTTAGAAGGAAAGGTATACATTCTTTCTTCAACCAAGGAAGAATCTTAGGGATTTATTTTCCTAAAAAGTTCATTGTCCATAAGGAAAAGAGGGGGATTGGGCATGGAAAGAAACTGGGAACTGGAACACAGGGATGAAGACGCCTTTTTTGACAATACGGTTTTTCTTGAGCATCTAGAGTAATTAAATCAGCACTAGGTTTAATGCCTCTTCTCTTCCAAGTTTGAAAACTAATTCCAGGTTGACTAATAAGCAAAAGTATTAATATATCCATTATCCATATATACTACTTACCACAGATCTACCACATTCCCATGGTAACCCAAACTAAGGGCAATTTTATTCTTTCTTGCATCTCTAGAATAGATTAAAAAGATTGGTTGAAGAAAATGTACCTTGTGTAATTCCATCTTGCAATGTACAAATCGCATACAGAATCAAACCCAGCAAAAAAGTCTATACGTGGTTTCCAACACTCATATAGGCAACAGATCTTTCAACCTTTATGTAATTATTAATCACTGGTTCCAGAAAGCTTGCATGATGCTTCAAGTGTAACATTATTTGTAACTGCTCTATGTGTATTCATGAAACCGAAAAAAGACACATTTAATGTACATAAATTATATGAATCATTAGTAGTGGTGTGCAGTAAGCACTGATAGTCACTAATGATGACTGCTGCTGTCAAAAGCAGACCTGGAATAAGAAGAGGTGTCCCTCAACCCCTTCTATATGCACAGTAAAATGGCACAACACAGAAAGGTGTGAAGCGCGGATTAGGAAGCAGAGATAAACTCACTGAATTATGTTACAAACCATACCTAAGGTACGCAATGCAATGGTCCAGGTTGTTAGAGATTTCCATCAGCCATCCCTGCTTGTGACGTTTCAAAAGTGCAGCTTCATCAACCTAAGAGAAATAGCAGGGATCTTAAAACTCCTGTTTCCCCTATCCAGTCACTTTTACCTTTCGTTTTTCAATTAGCCTGCAAGAAAGAGTAGCAAATAGGTAAAGGGAACAGCCCTGCCTTGGCCTCAAGAATATGGAGTGATTGTTCAAATACCTTTTTTTCACCTCTGTTTTTTTTAACACTTTCTGTTCTTTTACTCCAGGCTTGAAGCATGAAGAAAAAGACTTTTTGATATATCACTTCCCAAAATATTTTACAAACCAAAAATTATTAAAATTGTACAAGAGGTAGTATTTTCTGCAAATTCTAATTATTCTTATTGTTTTCTTTTCATTATTATATTAAAAAAAAAAATGAAAGCCAAAATCTTTCCAATTTATTTTTCAAACCTGGCTATTTTCTGTGAAAATAAATTTCTATTTAATTAAGGAAATATTTTCTTTGATGAGCTCAGAGATAGACACTTCTGCCAGACTGCCCAGGATGAAGCAATAGTTTGCTGAATAAAATTGACCCTCATTTTTATTTTTCAGCTGCTGGTTGAAAATCTCAACCAAATATGGAAAAGAAAAGAGGAAAGTATTTTCTTGTCCCAGCTGGCTAATGCCTCTGAAAAACGGAATGGATCAAAACCAAAGTATGTCTTGAATTCCCTCTTGTTTGAACTTTGAAGCTCCAAACAAGCTCAATCCCAAATCTATACTCTTTTCTGGACTCAGCTTCTGTGTGTGTCAGTGTGCATATGCATAAGAGACAGCTGGATAAAATATAAATGGATAGACAAACTGTGGAGGCTTTGGCACAGATTCCATAATAATGGTTCAGTGTACAAACCTGCACATCATTAATACTTTTATAATGAGCTATTAGTGGCACAAAGCAAGTGACAAAATTAATTCAAGCCAATTTTCTGTGGTAGCAAGGGATTTAAACACCCCCAGTGCTGTGTGTACATAAGAACACATAACCCAAATATCTTCTAGTATTTCATTAATGCATTTTTACTTCTATGTAGTCCACCCCCATCATTTTCATTCTATTATTTCTCATTACCAAAGTACTAATATGTAAATTAAATAAGTTCTGTATTCAGGAGTTGCTTGAACACCAGGAAACCTTTTCTTTCCTAATTATTTTTAGCATGAGAAACCTTCCATCATTCCTCACATCATTAATAAAGGCTATCCTTCCAAAAGCCCAGATTATGATAGTATCAGTGTCACTGGCAATGGAATTATTCAATAAAGCCAGATGCCGTGGGGGACAGCTTCTTTGGGTGTTATTGAAATCAGTACAGGAGGAAATACATTAAATGATCTATATGAATTACAGGAATCGGGTTCATTTGAAGCTCAGCACAACACAGAACAGATCTATTTAAATCTGTTACCACATCCTACATATTTTACTTCATATCTCTGACAGTCAGCCTTTCACAGACTTTCTAGCATATTCAAGAAAACTAGATCATTTGAACCACACTTTCAAAAACATGCTCATTTTTTGATCAGCATCTCAGTAGTTTAAAAAATTGCACTAACATGGTGAGCTAATGTCACCTCCAGTATAACCCTAGAGAGCTTAGTGAAGCTCAGAGGAGATAGTCTGGCCCTCCATACAATTATTTCATAAAATTACAATCTGCTTCATGTCAAACAGAAGAGGTAAAACACTTGCACCATTAATCCTTTCTGTCTGAGCTTCGGAAGCCCTGGCTGACAAAATGACATCTCTTGCACAATTCATCAATGTCATTTGCATAGATAGTTCCTTAAATAAATAATATGTACATATATATAGCTATCCACATGTGCTCCTGAGACTCATTTCCGACAAGGATCATCTCACAGGAGATAAAAAACAGGCGATATTCAGTCTCCTGAACAAAATCATCTGCAGCCGTAGAGATGAAAAGGACAAAGGACTGCTGTGAATAGCATTCACTGGAATCTTTCCTTTGTATTCTAGCATTTGAAAGATCATGATGACAGAATAGAAGTCTGTATGAAGATAATTTATTCAATAATAATTTATTCAATTTATTATTTCATCTGCAGGGAGTACCTGATGAGATCTCAAATACATGAAAAACTCATTTGCTAACAAAAACACTTTTGCACCATCATTGTAAAACAGATGAAAATCTAACCTTCCATGAATAAGACCTGAGCTAGACAGAGCAGGTCAGATTTACTGCATGCCACATGGGCAGTCTGACCCATCACATTTTGAAGTTTAATTATAACTACCATTGGTCAGATTGCAATATTCTTACCCTTTTAATTGCAGCGACATGCCCATAGCAGAGGTCTGACAGCTAATTCCCTCTATAAATTACTTTGGCTGAGAAGGCTAAACTCCCACTCCAGTCAGCTCCAACTGGAATTTAGCTCTCAAAAATCTCTCTTACTTTGTAACAGTAAGAAGAGCTAGTCACCTGCAGATAGTCAGAAGAGCGCAATACATTTTTGTTAGTCCTATATCTGCTCCAAGAATGTTTCCCCAGTGTGTTGAATTCAAAGGTAGCCATGAAGACAGAAATACATGGAAAAGTTTATTGTTTCTCAATAGTCAATATCATTAAAGAGAATCACTACTATTTTCACAGAATTGCAGAGCAACATTCTCTGTTAAAAATTGTTGCAGTGTTTCTGTAGTACATCCTTCCACCTGATTTGTTAGAACAGCCCCTATGATAAGCATAATAGCTGAAAAATGCAGGTATTAGGAGAACCTAATGTTACTTTTTTATACGAAGATGTATTTCATTCAAAACTTACAGGCATATATACTTACCAAAATTATGATGTTGGTGTTCTGTATTATATATGATACTTAAGGACATCTGTGGATCCAGTGGATCTTATACACTATTCCAATTGTTTGGACATCAGCAGTCTTTGAATCACAGATCATTATTAGAGTCTGTTTGTTTATGGGAGGAAATAGCTGGGCTATTTTAACATATTTGGAACAGAAAAATATTACATCAGGATGAAAGACTCTACAAAGAATATGTGCTGTGGGTGAGCTTCAGGGAACATGGTACCACAGAACTTCTCTCCCATCAGCATTTTCTCTTAGAAGAATTTACCTTCGTTTTCTACAAACTGGGATTCCCAGAAGTGTTTGTAATTAGCCTCACCATCTTCATACTGAAGCCAACTTTAAAATTCCCAGTTTTACAAACTGCCGTTGACTTCAAGGAATCACAACACCAAGCAACTTTGTTAGTCCCAACCTTGACGAGTGGGTCATACCAACATTTTTAATGTGTACTTTCCATTGCACCTGACAACGGTGCCAGAGGCATTAAAGATTAATCACACTGTAATTAACACCATTTTAACATAGACTTTTTTGACATAGGAGAGTGCAGTCCCCATGGGGATTGCCTGTGCAAGTTATACTCTTTCACACATGAAATGAGAATAGCTCAAGCATTGAGAATGTCTCATCTCACAGAATCACTCTGCATTATTTGTGAAGCAACCATAAGAAGTTACAGTCCATATCCTTACAGTCTGATCCAGTGAGTGAACAATTAGAGTGGAATAGCAGTGAAAAATGCTCAACAATGAAAAGGGCAGACAGATCTTAGAAAAAGGAGTATCTTTATGAGTTTGGCTTGTCAGGGTTACTTGAGGAACATGTCAGATCAGGAGAATGAGGGCTCAGATTCAGCACATGAAGGAGAGAAGACAGAATGAAAGAAGCATTGCTCTCACCTCTGCAATGATCCCCACACACCCAGCAATGACCGCAGCCTTTGCTTGAGCCCCACTCATCCCTCCGAGACCAGAAGTAACAAACACCTTTCCGGAGAGGTCTTCTGCCTTCAAGTAGCGACGGCCTGCATTGAGCACTGTGAGCTGCACACAACACAACAGAGCAATTGTCAGGAGTTATTTTCAGAGTCTCTGAAATTTAAAGACCTTACGTCCCTTTTGATAACAGAGTTTGAAACTCATGGGTCATTTGGACCATGAAACTCTTTTAATCTTTTAAGAAGGAAACATGTTACAAACTGATGTTATGGAAGTATCTGTCCTGTTTATTTCTCTCACCATGAAATAGAAAAGAATAACCAATGGTTCCCAACATGCTGCTCTGGATATAGAGACTTATTCAGGATGGCTGAAAAAGACAGCTAAGGAAAACAGCTAAGAAAACAAGCTAAGAAAATGTTTTATCTAGCACATTTGGTTGATTCATACTTCACTTATTGTAGTGAGATACCAGCTCAGATGGAGACCTTGATCGCAGATTCCTTCAGGTCTACATTCTGGATAAGATGCCATGGACTATCTGAGTGGAAGGACACTAATTTTTTAAGGAGCAGGCAATAAGAATTTCTTTGGGAGGCAGAATATCCTCTGGCAGCAATACAACACCTTCTCCAAAGGGCATCAGCAAATAGACCTTTTCCCAGTTTCTTACCACAGTCCCATGGACGATTCCCTGAGGCCCAATGTAGCAGTAGCTCCCCGCAGTCATCTGCCCATACCTAGCAATAGCAACGAACACAATGACACCACATGTTGCTCAAGCTGGAACGAATTTTGTACATGTCTATACATGTTTCCAGTATAAGAAAAAAAAATATCTCTGTGCTTTGATTTGTTGTTAAAGATCTGCTATTATCAAATTCACAACTTAATTGAGTTTCTTCATTAGCAATGCACAAACATGTTTTCAGAGGAACATTTAGCTCTACAAATTGAGTTCAAAAATGCATGGATCAAAAAACTGAGTGTAAACTTGTTCTGGCATTTAGCACAGTGACTAGGACACATGGACACTTTTTCATATTGTTGACATCTTTATGTCATTGGTTTTCAGTAGCATTTGTGCTTCTAAGTCAAATAGTCACTTTTGAAATTGTTAGCCCAAAATGGTTGTCCACATTCCTATGAAATTCCCAGGAAAGTAGCAGTAGACATTCTCTATTCATACCCTTTCTTCCAGCTTCCTTATCTGTACACACTCAGCTCTCTGGTGGTGTTATTTTTTTTTTTTCCATGTTATACAACAGAATAATAACCCTGTTCATCAACTAGATAAGCAGTAAAAAAGTAAATAAATAATAATTTAACAAAAAACAAAAAGAAATGGTAACTTTCTACTTCAAAGATTTCTCTTAGTGCAAAGGAATGTTTCATAACTTGTGTTTTCTGTAGATTTCAAAACCACCACTGCGAAGTGAAACTAGCCAGTGCTGTAAGTAGGTTATGATTATTAAGGCTTCAGACTGTAATTCAGCCAAGTCCCACACATAAACCCAATACTAATTCCTAGCAGACCTCAATTACATCCTTATATATGTGGCTGAAGATAACTCAAACTCCTAAGTAATTCCACTTAAGTGTGCACTAATGCTTTGCAGTATCAGGACTTTATGCAGCGCAGTTGAAATCCATCTGCATTAGAAATTTTAACCAGCCACTGCTTGATGTCTGAATTACATTTTAGTTAAGAATTTTATATATTTGAATAGTGAAAATTTAGAAAATTAGAATTAAATTAGAAAATGCAATAAATTTTAATAATAATCTTCCTACATTGTTACTCCCAAAGCAAACATCTTCTCATATTCATCTCTGGTGGAATAGTTGGGAATAACCTAAGAAAACAATCAAAATAAAATCCAGATGAGCAAATCAGAGATTTAAGCAGATCATTTTAACAGTCTAAATTTCTCTAACTATGGTCACACATATAGGACAACAGTGAAAAACGGGAGTAATTCACATGTTTTATTCCATAAATTCTAGTATTACAAAAAAGATGTCTGGTCTTTCTGGTAGTGTGACCATCATGCAAGTTTTAAGGAAAGCAGCTCTCTAGCCACAAAACTAGCCTGCAGAGAGATAGATACTGAATGTCTCAAAAGACTGGCACTGAACCAGTATGTTCACTTGTCCAGCTTGCCCTCCAAGCAAAGCGGTCCAGATATCTGAGCATCTGATTGTCCTAGTATCGGCTGGAACAAATTTAATTTTCTTCCTAGTATCTGGTATAGTGCTGTGGTTTGTATTTAGGATGAGAACAGTGTTGATACACTGGTGTTTTAGTTGCTGCTAAGTAGTGCTTATGCTAAGTCAGGGACTTTTCAGCTTCTCATACTGCCCGGCCAGCGGAGGCTGGGGGTACACAAGGAGCTGGGAAGGGACACAGAAAGGACAGCTGACCCTAATGAGCCTAACGGGTATTCCATACCATATGATGTCATGCCCAGTATATAAACTGGGGGGAGTTAGCTGGGGGGCACCACAGCTCGGGGATTGACTGGGCATTGGTCAGTGGGTGATGAGAAATTCTATTGTGCATCCCTTCTTTTGTCTATTCTATTATATTTTATATATATATATATTATTTTTTTCCTTCCTTTTCTGTCCTGTTAAACTGTCTTTATTTCAACCCACAAGTTTCTTTTTTTTTTTTTTTTCCTGATTCTCTCCTGCATCCCACTGGTGGGGGGAGCGTGAGTGAACAGTGTGGTGCTTAGTTGCCTGCTGGGGTTAAACCATGATTAATAATCATCTGCTTGCCTATTGAGGGCTTTTAAATCTTCCAAACTGAGCCAAGCGGAACTGTTTTGGTCAACAACATGTACAGCTCAGGCTCAGTCAGAACAGAAGTCATCTAATAAGGAGAGGATTGTATTCTCCATCACTGCAGACCAGCAAACCTGAGGTGAAAGCAAGTGTACTGGAATAAATAATGCAGAATTTGGACCCCACATTCTCCTGTGTGCTCTTGTAAGTTCAGGTGGTATAAATAATATTTTAATTCAGAAAACTGAACAGAAGAGGAATAAAAAGAGAAAATGAGATGCTGATACCTACCATGCCATTAGTAATTATTAATCGAGGAGCATACTGATGGCTGGGAAAGACTCCCAGAGGATGTCCACTGTACATTACTAATGTCTGCTCTTCAGTTATCTCTGACAAATAGTGCATTACCAACCAGAACTGAAAAGAAGAGCAAGGAAAGTGAGGGAACCTGTTCCATCTTACATTTATGTTTGTTTGTAAAGCTGCTAAACTCTGAGTATGAAAGCAACTATAGAGATAATGAGTTGTACTCACATGTGGAATAACAGCCAGAGCTCTCAACACATTCTTGCTTTTAATAAAGTTCATTAAGAGACATCACTCAGCAGGAAACATAAATCACCAACTAGTAAAAGTCTGAATAAGTTCCAGAATAATTTTGCCAGTACAAGCCTCAGAAATACTTCATTTTTAAAGCCATTCTAGTTTTATTTTGAGGTTAACCATTTGGATCTGGCACTTTTCTGGCAAACTTTCCAAAGCCAAACTGCTAAATTTTCCCTATAAAAGTGATTAAAATATGCACACATATTGTTGATCCTAACCTGAAATGGCTAATTCAGCATCTTCTGGTGCTTATCATCTTTTCAAGAAATGGATATTACAGTATGAACTTAAAAATGAAATAATTTTTCTTCTCAAAGAAAGAAATCAGCTTTCATTGTGGACAGTGAACAGAGTCCTTGAGGCATCAAGAAGTATACAAATAAATGCATTTCAGCGTTGTCCGCATAACTCAATAGTTACTCTTGATCTATGGCAAAAAGTAGGCTATGGTCATCTAAGATGCCTATAGATTTGACTCACACCCACCATTGTCTATCACAAAGCCCATTACATTCCACCGGACTTTTAGTGTGTGACAACTAGGCCTGACAGACACTTTCCCATGCAATATTGGAATTCAACAATAGCTTAAAACTACAGTTTCTGAAGGCATACAGAGGCAAAGTTTTGAGAAAAAATGGAACTGCTCATCAAAGAGACAGAAGTATCAGTTGTCATGGTCACTTAACCTCTCTGTGTCTTTGATCTGAATTAAAAATGGTATAGATTCTAAGCCAGTCCCTTCTAAGCCATCTAATTTCCAAGCCGCAAGTTAAGTTGAGCAGAAAAGAGTTACTAGAGTTACTGGCCTGCTCTTTACATTTCATTTTTGTTTCATGAAAAAAGTTGAACAATCAAATTCTAGTCCTAGGACAGAACAGGTAACTAGATGAACACTCAACTCTTTAGCAGCCTGGGAAAAACATTGTATTAAAATTAGAAGCTGTAAGATAGATATTTTTTAATTGAAAGGCACAGCTAGAATGGAGGGAGCAAAAGCTCTTCCTAACTTCAAGTACCGTTCTGTTGTCTGCTGGGCTGTAAAGTTAGCTCTGGAAATGGTATGTTCTTTAAAAATTATTCAGAAGAAATCAAAGGTCTACATAGATGATATAAACCAAACTGAACCTTTTCACTAGGAATTTAGCAATGATAGATTTCCAAAAAGCATGTTGTTTTCAAGCCACAAACAGAACAAAATGTTCTGTCATAACTGAATCATTCATGATTGCTACTCTGAGTAAGCAAAAACAAAAAGGTTTTGTTTGTTCTGCTGTGAAACAACTGCAGGTCATAGCTCTGGTTTGGATGAGAACAAGAGAAAAGAGAATATTTCTGACTTTGGCAGTGCTTCTACTTCACCTTGCAGCCCAGCATCTGCCTAAGTGATGTCAGTCTAATAAAGGCTACTATGTAAACTGCTGGCACTGCTCACATCAGAAATGCTGCAAAACTCATGTAGTTAACAGGCATTAGTTAACTGGGATTTACTAATTAAAACACAGAATAAAGAAATAGTGTGCATTGCCATCGTACATATCTTTTTAAAAGTCAGAAGAGTTTTGCCTCAAAATCTCCCTAAAGCATCCATTTAACTCCCATTTACCAGATTAGGAAAATGAAGCATGAGATTTCTCTTAGCCACAAACAAAAAATCCCAGTCAAACTGGGAAGAAAACCCAGGTTCCATGCTACAGTGAGGAATACACTCTTTTCCCCTGTCCTGGGTTGAGTGAGTGGTGGGGTTTTTTGGTGGCAGGGGAGGGGGCTATAGGGGCGGCCCCCTGTGTGATGACAGGGCATCCTGTCATCCCCTAATGAGGAACTTCTTATACACATTAGTATAAATTAGTATAAATGAACCCCAGGACATCCCCTAATTAGGAACTTCTTATACGCATTAGTATAAATTAATTTTTTAATAAGCAAGAGTCCAGGCTCAGGTAAAGCCACAACAAGGTGCATACACAATTCTTTATGACAGAAGTTGGCTCCTTAAGTCAGCTTTTCTGATGTGAGCTACAGAATTAGAAATCAAGACCTTCCCAGCCTTAGGGAGTGATGCTGCCCTTCAGGGTGGTGTAGCTTTCCACCTGTGCCACATTTACACCCGTTCCTGCCCTGTGGCCTTGAAGCATACCAGAGGCTGCAGGGATGACGTGGCTTTGGCATTCACAGTAATTACAATTCTGCCTGTCTATCCTCAGACACTCAGGACAGTTGTTCATTAAATGTTCCTCCTGCCACCACACACCTGTAGAGCATTCAGACCCAGACCATTTTTTTTTTTTTCTTGAGAGAATAAATTGAGCTCATACAAAACATAAGTCTAATGACAAAGTTCTCTTCAAAATGTTTCCCACATGTATTTTGCAGTACTTGGATTAAAGAAAGTGTATTTACTACCATTTTGGGATAAAGGAGAACAGAGATTATACAACCTCACCATAAACATCCTGGGTCTGATTTTAGACAGACTTTTACCCACCTGCCATTATTTTCAGGAGAGCAGGTATAATGTTGCTAGGCCTGACAGTAAAGTGCACTCTGATCTGGCCATCTAGCATGTAAATATTAACAGCTAATCTGATTTGCTTGGAAAAAGACTCAGGATTGCCCAATCTTTAATCAAAGCCTTTTTTACTATTATTTATTCCACTACTTGTGAAAAATGTTGCAAAAGTACCAGAAACGAGCAAGCAAAAGATGTGCTTTTTGTTTCCTAGAATTCATTTTGATTCTGAAGTTATCTGTGCAAAATACACAGGCACATACAAATGCATCAGAGAAAGACAAAGAACTGGTCTTTCATCATACACAACTTGCTATGTTTATGGTATTACGTTTAGTATTTCTACTGGGCTGTCTGTGCTCTCTTTACTAAATAAAGCTCTCCCCATCTATGCTTTTCATAACTGAGCATTCCTCTATCCAGACAGGATGTTTTGGAGTATTTTGAGACAACGGCTGCCAAGAATCATCACAAAATGCCTAAACAGAATGTGCTTGGGGAAGGGTGAAACTGATTTTGTGAAACAAACTGCAAAAGCATCAATGTCCTACCTGTGCCCAGTTGCTGAAGACCTGCCCATTTCCTCCATAAGTGACAAGCTCCTGGGGAAACTGAAAAAGGCAATTTAATAATAAAACAGTAAGGCAAGCACTTTTCTGAAACGTTTCAATGTACCTCTGAGCTATTTTTTTAAATCTCAGTAATAAATATTTTCTAAAGCTTTTTGCATCAACATTCTCTAGATTCTTGAAATCAGAAAATACCACCATAAACACGATAATTTAAGGAAAAAAAAACATTTTTCAAAATGAGATATTTGTTATTGTTACAATGGTATTTTGGATGCAGAATGCTACAAAGTGTTTCATTGATTGTAGTTTCTGTTTCAAACAGATATCACAGTAAACTCCCCTACAGAAGGACTGAGTGAGCTTATAGTGTGGTTGCCACTGGCATTTACAGCTGGAAGAGTCTATGACCAGCAGAGGATAGTTGCATGGCCTCTCCCCTGCCATTTACAAAAAGATGCATTACACTGGGTAGTGCTTGTACAGATGGACTCTGGTCCCATAATCCTCTAGTCAATCTGTCCTCGAGAGACGAGATTTCAAAGATACAGGAAGCATCAGCACTATTTTTTCAACATAAGTTGTAGCAGCAGTGTACTAAGAGCTGAGCTCTACCTCTCCCACAGACAGCGACAGAGCTCCTGTATATAGTGGGAGCTGGAGCAAAGCTTGTTGGTGTTTTTAGGAGGCCTCAGAGGTCTGTGTTAGGACTAGGACCCACTGTGCAGAGTTCAGAACTTAACACAGCAGGAAACTAAAGAACTTAATACAAAAGATCCCAAACCCCAGGAATCAAAACATAACCACATGAAAATTATAGAATCACCTTTAGTCCCTTGCAGGGACATTCAAGTACATCACTCCGTAAGGAGGCTGCCTTGGCACTGATGGAATTGGGCTGCTTACCTCACACACTGCAGCCATCTCAACACATACAGGGGCTGGCATGTACCTTGGGGCACAGAACCACCAAAAGGCTTATGAACAACTAAAATCCTATTCAGTCTATGGAAGAAGGATCATCTGCACAAGGATTAATTTCACCTATATGCCTAAATTGTTCAGATTTTACATGAGGAACATACAGGAAGTAACTTACAGATTTGCTACTGCTCTATGAATCTGGCTCCCTTATTCTCACTGTACCTTACCTGAGCCACCGAGGGATCCAGGTTATTCATGATCATCAACATAATGGCAGCAGCTGACTTGGTCTTGCAAGGGTAGTCTCCTATGGGGTACGCTCTGAAACAATAGTCACAAAAATTTAGGAGACACTTCAACTCACAAGTACAACCACAACAACATACCCCCTGCATGTCAACACATTCCTTTCAGTTGCAGACTTTTATTCAGGAAGGAAGGGGAAAAAAAAAGAAGAAAGTGCAGATCTGAAATGACATATGAGCCTTAACAGACAAATCAGGTTTTAACTGGTATCAGAACTAAACAAAGAAAAAAAATATATTAATCTTATAATTTGCTGAATCAGTTAATCACGATTGGTTATAAATATGGTGGCCAAGAGCTCCCATTGCTTTTTAACTGGATTATTTTGGGTGTGCTGGAACTGGCCTCTGTAGCACAGTTGCCAGGCCAAGCAGCTGAGTCCTGCAATGCCAAGGAAAACAGCATTGGTGGAAGCTGCCTTCAGGCTCATCAGCCCTTGTTATTTAAGATCCTATCTAAGAAAAACCACCCAGCTTGAATTTCAGTTCCAAAGAAGCTCTCAAAAACTGAACTAGTTAGGAGAAATATGGGCCTTTTTACTGAATAAGATGCATTTTATCCAGAAAGTCAAGAGGTGAGGTATGGGAAAGCCTCACAAAGGTATTCTGAGCCAGGTTTCCTAGCACTAATGTGCTTTAGTGTCAACTGCTGCGATCATCTCACCATTATCTTCTCCTCCACCAACTGCTTGTCATATCAAATTGCTCTAAAACTTCTAGTCCTAGATTTATACTGTAGCTCTTCAGGGGAGGGACAGTTCCTTTGATGTGTTTGCACAGGTCTTAGTACAATTGTGCTGAGGCCTCTAAGGTATGATAGCAAAAGGAAATATAAGCATTGATCAAGAGATTTGCTCTTTCCCTTTCTGTAAGCAACCATACTATTGCAGATGTTGGAAATTCCTGAAGATACTAGGATCATTTTACATAGTTTCTAAATAGTCTTCCTTTTGGACCATAGGTCTTCAGTGGCTGGACACTTGCTTTTTGCAGTTACAATGAAAAGGTTAGGCTAAAGAGTACCAACGGCAAAAAAAAATGGGCATCTGCTGACCAGTTCATGAGCCAAGATCTGGAATGTATCTTCTACAGATTCAGTGAATGGACTCCTCCCACGATCACATGCACTTTATCCTAGCTTTTTACATTAGGATACTAAAACAAATGCCTTGTAGTCATTGCCAAACCAGGAGGGAAAGCTTTTGAGTTTTTCCACAATACTTTTTTATTAGTGTTTTCTGCTTTTCTAAGCTTGATGTGATAAAATAACAGGATTTATATGGAATGATATCAATTCATCAAGAGGAGATATTTCCACATACTATTGCTCAGAACATAAGAAACCCAAAGTTCAGATATCAGCTGAGCATGGGAACATAGGTGTTAAATGGAGCAGAACCAAGTTCTGTTGAACAAGAACTATGCTCCCTGAGTGCAAGTGTCCTCATCTGCAGTTTGGGACTAGGGTCCTCTGAAGTCCAGCTCTGCAATATCTTTCAGACACTCTTCCAGTTGTCGTCCTCTTAGCTGAATTCTGCAAGAGCTGACTCCAGACTAGTATGGGCAGCACAGAAATATGGATGTCTGTGGAAATCAGAGTGCTTTCTAGTTGCTTGCTTTATTCAGATTCCTGTATAGACATTAACCAGGCCCCTGCTGGATGCAAAAAGGAATGAATCAGTCTAAAAAAAAGCAGCTATCCCCTGGCAGCCCTCTCTGAAACTGTTCTGCTTTACAAACATTAGCCCCATCGGCCCTAGACTGAAGTGATGCTCCAAGATCAATAGGCAACAGGCACAGCATATTACAAACTAGGGTCAGATACAGGTTCCAGTGATGGAAAAATGTACTGTCTTTTAAGCCTGGAAAGCCTTCTTTGTGAGACTGGGAAACAACGAGCCACTCAGAGCAGGTCCCAAGCCACCTACTCGTCTGATCTTACCTCTTGGTTTGAGACTTGACTTGCAGCAGCTCAGGACTATTGCAAGTTTTCTATCTAGGTTGCAATCAGAGGTCTCTGAGTAATGACTGGCCCCTAGAAACTAAGACTTGCCATGTGGCAGAGCATTTGAGATCTCTGTGTACTGTAAAACTGGCATTACCAAGCACACAGCTTTGCACAATCCTTTCCCTGTGTTCAGTGGTGCTGAGCTTTCCAGCATCAAGACTGTCCTGGCCCTGCCACAGCCTATCCAGAAGAGCTCGTGCTGTCTCCCTGCTAGTCCCATGGGACTCTCATGAGGACAGAGAGGATGAAAGATCATTGTTATGCAACTTTAAAGAGCGTCCCAAAACATACAGTATCACTCACTGGAAATGAAACCACTGCTATCTAACTACACACAGAAGATCCAATTTATTCAGATGATACGCTTGATTAATATGTTATGACATGACTTCTACAAGAGGTAAATTAGGACACAGCAATGCCACTATTTAAAGGTCAGTTCTACAGGTGAGAGCTGGTAAGCAAATGGCAGTTGAATGCAGTGTGAACCATCTAGTCCTTACCTCATCTCAATATCTGGAAAGAATCTATACATATAAATATGACCATACAGCCTGAGTTCTTCGGCAAATTCCAGTGCCAGCTTCTTCTGTATTTCAGGTGGGAAATAACGCAAGGCATTGCGCAAAGCCAGCTGCCAAAAAAAAAAAACAAAAACAAACAAACAAAAAAAAACCACAACAACAACAAAACAAACAAACAAACACACACCAAAAAGACAAACAAGGGAGACAAAAATCAATGTAAAAGAAAAATAGAGTTAAGTGGGTGGTCCTGAACTTTAATCAGACTGAGCTGGGAGCCTGCCTAAGCTATCACAAGGATGATACAATTTAAAAGGCCAAGCTCACACCAGGGGTGCTCCATTCTTGCTTTCCTACTGAAGTGTTTCCACCTGCATCTTTACTTGTAGACTCAATTGCTGTACACAAGTAACCCTCCCCTTTCCACCCACCCAAATCTGTATAGACAAACCATGGAGATTTGTTAAGGCATGGACGAATTCCCTCTCACAATGCTAGGGGGCACTGAACTACCAAGGAAAAAATTTTTCAGAAATATTTAGACTGAGACCCTGAACACCCTACTGTACTTTCCATTCAAACACGGGACCTTAGCCCTGAGTTGTGTGACCTGCTCCCAGATGAAGATGTTCTTAGGCTAACTTTTATTAAAGATTCACTACAATTAGCATCCTAATGTATTGCAGAGAGTGGTGGTTTACATTATTTTATTGATGCTACATGTATCACTTCCAAATTAGCTAAAGTGATTACTGGGCACTGAATTAAATTCTGCAGATTATATTATGTAGCTCATACTGCCTATTACCTTCAAAGACATTACCCGTAATTTACAAAGTATAGTATGACCTTTTGGATGAATGAAACCATAAATAAATCACTATCCTTAGTGACAGTCTGTTAAATCATGTCTCTGTATTCCATGTTCCATTTGATTAAAACCATAATGAGAATAAAGATCTTGTAATCTTTAAAAAGCCAATGTCATGCAAAGATGATAAAAGATATTGTAAGTTCCCTGACAAATGGTGACACTATCCATATTACTTGTAGTTGAAGAGATTCACAAATCATATAGAATTTCACATCTTCATTAGGCTGATTTTTAATGGCTGTCAAAAGGATAGAAAGGGATCCAGCTTGCTTCCAAATCTGGTAACGGTCTACAAAACAATCAGGAGACCCCAGTTTTGGAGAGGCCTGAGTATAGCAAGGATACCTCATGTTTGTGATACCTGCCACTGGCACTTCAGGGATGTATGGAAGCAAGTATTTTCTGGAGGAATTTTAGGGGTAGGCTGTCATACAGGTATCTAGAACAAAGGCATCCAGAACCATCCACCCTGGTAATAAGTTCTGAAAAGCTCTATAAAGCCCTCAGCTTAGCACTAAACCTCCCCATTCAACATGACTATGGTCTGGCTCTTATGGCTAGAGCTCTCCAGCCCCTTCATGCAACCATGCTGGTCTCACATACCTTAGAGCACACTGAAATAACAATATCTCTAAATCTAAAAATGTCCCATATTAAGAGAGGTTTTGTTGGCATACTTGCTACTGAATAGGCATATGGGTCAGAACCTTGCAGATCAATGAAGCTATACTGATTTACACCAGCTGAGGATCAGACCAGTTAAACCCTACAAGTTAGATTTGTCATTCCACACAGAGAATGACCTATTTATCAGATGAGAAAACGCAAATTCCATCTTCAAATACCACCTTATTCTTCTCCAGTTAGATAAGCAGTCATTTTTCAAGGGCATGTTATTAATAAACACAAAAATCCCAGCTATATCCACACACAAAATATGTGGGGATTTTCAAAGTCAATCTCAGAGGCAAGCAGCCATCACAGTGGCTTCTAGATCTAAGAAATTTCTAAAGAATATAATCACCTACACCCCTTACAACAACAGAATCAAGATGAAAACATTGCCACATGTGGTATTTTGGCTGTCTGTGAGAACTACAGAGAACTATCAGGGTGAGTGTTTTGCTTCCAGTCTGGCAAAGATCACCCTGTCTTTGATCAATATATTATTTTTATTATAATGAAACTGATGGGGAAATATTTTTATTCACCCTAAAAATACAAGGAATCAAAATCTGTTTGGATTTTCAAATAAATTCACTTGAAGTGAGCCTCTATCCTATTAATGGTACACATTAGCAGAAGCCTGAATTTTGATGATGCAAACATTAAAGAAACATGAACTTGGATGTTACATGAAGGGCTAGAAGGGTGCCTTGGTTGCACAGACAATAGAGATCTTATCAAAGAGGACTAAGACTGTGGCTTGTTTAGCTTAACTGAACAAAGGTGACATTTGATTGCAGGATAAGTGTCCAAGCAGGAAGGAGCTTGAGGGAAATGCTGTAAGAGGTATAAATAGCTGTGAATTAGACATAAAAAAAAGGTAGTCTTGCAATTAGAAGAATTTAAATATAAGAGATTCTGAAACAGTCTCTCAGTAGGAGAGCTGGGGCACTTAAAATTGCCTGGATAGAGCCTGACTGCTTTATGAAAGGGCAATTGCCATGTACATCAGGAAGAATTTTGTGTATTCATTATTGAGTCATAAACTGAATAACCAGAGAAAGGCACTCAAGGAACAAATTCAAATTGGCCAATCATCATGCTTTGTGGAAAGGCGATACAAGGTCATTATTCCTTGCATTTCATTAAAGCACCATATAAAACATTATCCTAACTTTTAAGTAGGATTGATTTACCTATAACTGACACATTGCATTCTGAATATTAGAAATGGTGCATTTGATATTTAGGTGTTCTTCCTGTTCATAACTTCCACTGACAGAAGCTTAAGCTGCACATGCTCAGCACCTCTGAAAAACCAGGTCTGGAGTTCATTGATGTCTTAAAAAAAATAATTAATTGCACTTATACTCCTGAGCCAGATAGGTTGCTTAAAAAAAAAAAAAAACTGCTCTGAATTTGCTGAGTTACTGATTCAGTTCAGTTCAGTGCAATACAAGCATTGGATACAAAGTCCTCCCCTGAGATCTGAAAGTTGGTTCTAACATTTGATTCTTGTGTTTAAACTCTAAATCACTATTAGGGTGTCTTTTTCTGTATTCACTTGTACTTACACAGTAAAACATGATCTTGCTGCTATTTAATCAAGATTCAGACCTCTCGATGTCAACAAAATGTTGCCAAAAGAACCCATTAAATCTTGCTCCAATCAATCATCTGTAAATATCTTTGTTGGGGAATTCTCTTGAGAAATCAAGTATACCAGCCTCTTTGTTAATTGGCTTTTGTTGAAGAGCCAGTGCCTCTTCACAAGGAATGTCATCCATTTTTATTGGCTAACAAGTTCATCAGGACTTCCAATTTAAGGATCCTGAGATGCTCAAACACTAAGATCTGCAGTCTCCCTGTTTACTGAGGGAAAGGGAATCATGCAGATAAGAAGTGACTAGTTTAATTCCACAATGCTTTCATTCTTAGTTCTGCCCCTTTTCCAGGGGAGATGTTGCTTGCCTCTGACCTCTCATCTTCTGCCTGATGATATCTAGGCCCAGAATCTTTTGTGGCACTATTGTCTAAACAGCCACCATAAAAGCAAGATTGTGATTTCATGTATTATTCTTCCTGATAGGTCCCACTTTTAGATCAGCTTAGCTGGGAAGTAAACACACCAACTTCTGACTGGCCATTGCTATAAATGTCCTCCAGGCTGTGAAAGTTTAACCAAGTTCTTTATCATCCAGATGTTCCAAAACAAGAACCAACAAGTTGACCTTCACAATCCACATATAAGCTTTTAAAATTGTCCTCATTTCTGGTTGTGCAAAACAACCATTAAGGTCAAATGTCCTGCTTCTCCAGAAAGTCAAAGAACTTCAGGTGCTATGTGTCTTCACAGGCTCTGGTCTTCAGCTCTTTGGAGTAGGATGTCATGAAGCAGCAAGGCCCAGCTGCTTCCTAAGGGATAGGGAGGCAGAGTAACAGATCCAGCAAGAGAGGCAATTCACCAGCTAGGGCCCAGCCTCATGGTACCCAAGAGAGTTAAGCAGGACAGCCTAGGGATTGCAGCCAGGTTCCACCAGGAGTCTAGGTCATCATGCAAGATCGTGGTGATGCTTACCACCAAAAGATAGGGCCCAGAGATCACCAGGAAGGTTCATACTAGCAAGTCAGCCCACAGGTTAGAAATCAGCTCCAGGAGATCCATGACTTGGCACATGGACATCCTGTGATAAAACTAGAGAGACACATCTCCCACATAACTAAGATTGAAGTCCCAGGCCTGAGCTTAAATGGATCCGCTAAGCCTATGGGCAGAGGCCATGGGTGGAGATCTCAGGTGAGGTTCATCAAGGTCATCAAGGCCCATTACTGACCTCAGGGCCCTGTGACAGAAACACAACTGATACTGCAATCAGGTAACAGATGATCATGCTGGGGTAGCAGGAAGACTGTAACATGACTTGGATTCTAAGATACATAAGGGAACTGCTGCATGGATGAAAGCACAGCATTTTTTTCTTATTCTGAGCAACACCAAGAAGTGTACATTCTTCCTGAGTTGCTCCAGTTTTACTGGAAAGTCAATGAGTATTGAGCATGCAACATCCTTGTTCTGCAAAGGACACACCATACATAAGATTTTGAGGGTAGTTTCTTTGTAGCATATTCACATTAAGAAATGGATGCTGAGAAACAGAAAGCTAGGGTTTCCTGAGCTGTGGAGGGAAAGAGGGAGGATATGGCTGTTTCAGGCCTCAGGCAAAGAATGCCAAAGGAAGAGAATTCAGGAAACTTATAAACAGAATCAGTTCTGAGAAATGGCCTGATTTATCCAAGAAGATTAAAGTTAGTATGATAGGAAGAACTACATACCTATTCAGCAAACCCTAAAACACACAGAACTTTATCACTTTCTATTATAACCACAAAAGGATGCCCAAGAAAATAAAACATTGGCAGTACTAAGGTTTATTATCGTGGAAAGAGCTAAAACTGGAATGAAGGCCTATGAACAGAGGGACAAATCCTGAGGAAATAATCAGAGCATTATTAACTTCACTCTGTCAAAGCTTCCCCTGAATACTTCAATTGGAAAATGAACACAGTGTCATACATAAAGACAAGCCTCACAATATGCTCATCATTACATACTGTCAACAAAATCTGGAAGCCTGTCTTGAGATTTAAAAACCAACTTGTAGGCAGACAACCTTTCTGTCTACAAGCTTTTCTAAGCATGGAACACCTCTTAAAAAAAAGAGATTTGACCTTTCAGATATAAAATAAATACCAGCTGAGCCTCTAACCATTAGGATTTTAAGGTGGAGGATTAAGAGTAAAATAAATCAGAAAGGAAGCTTTTAAATATTTGACAGTCTAACAACCCAAGCAGCATGACCTCTTATCACATGTAGGTAAGAAGGAAAGATGAGACTAGGATGTTAGACAGTAGACTGGGGCCAGAAAATCAGTCTATTGCTGTATTCCTGCAACACTTAAAGAAGACAAGAAACTATCCCAGTTCCTGTACAGAGAGTGAGGATTTTGTCATTACCTTTCTCTCCCCAGGAAAAGAGAAAGGTTTGGCATCCTTTTGAGAGACACCATCTCCTCTTCTATAAAATGGACTCCTTTATGCTATAGCAGACTTCTGGGGAAAAGTGATTTAGCAAAGGCAAGAAAAAAAATGGTGATGATTGGCAATGTTCTGACATACAGTGAAGCTCACTCCCCACTCCTTTATCTTCACTGCCACCATCACAGCCCCCTTCTGCACACTTAGAAGCCACACTGCCATGTGTCTGAGCTGTCCCAGGCACAGACAGGATGCCTCAGCCATGAATGCTCCTGACATTGAAGTAAATCCTCTTTGGATATCTTACAGCTGTTCCTCCTTTTACCCTTTGCTAGGCTCTCCTCTGCTTGTGGAAGTGGACTTTGAAAGAATTTAGCTGTTGATGCCAGTGGGGAACTCCCACGAAGGCAAGGAAGTTGTGTGCAACTTGTTAGTGGGGAAAGAACTTTTGTATTCTGACCAGAATGTCACATTAGAAGTGATGTTACATGTGATGAAGCACAGACTTTCAAGTTAAAGAACCCACCTTATCCTCTCCCACACAAATTCCTAAGGAGCTCCACCCATTGAGCATTATTTTCTGCTGCTGATTTTTTAAAAATCTCTAGCATGAAATAATGCATTGATTACTTTAGAGGGTATGTAGAGTATTCAAACAAACAGAGACAGGAAAAGAATTGCACAACTAAAGACAATAATTAACTCAACTCCCTACAAACTTGCCTAGATTCCAGGACACTCGGACTACTGGTTAAAATAATTATCTTTGGATCTCTTATGGAATATACAGTTGTGTAGCTTGTACCATGATGCTGTTTCATGACATTTGATATTTATTGTATTTGAAGGGTTAGCTTTCACTCCCATACATATGCAGTGTTTTTGCAAGAGCATTCATAATTTCATCTCCAAGGAACAATGATGGATTGACAGCACTGAAGTCTAATGCCTCCTGTTTAGCCATTTAAAGTCACAGAAGCTGTTGTGCAGCAAATCTTCCTCATATCAACCTGCTTATCTCTGGGGAAGGAAGAAAGCAAGCCAGCAGAAGAGTTTCCAGCACTTTGTCCCATTACCCACTGAAATTATAACACCAAGGAAATACATTTGCCACAGTGTTAGGTGCACACTCAGAAAAGCATTTGAAGCAATCAGGCCTGCTGCCCCAAGCTGCACTTATCTGAAAGGAAGAGAAGTGAGGCCCTGTGAAACCCCATGTTACCTTTTTCTCCTGAGCAGTGAGATTAGGGGTTCTCACGGGTGCATGGGGTATTCCTTTCCTCCGACCTCTGTTTTCAGGCAATGGGTATAGAGGAAGGCCACGACAGATTTCCTTCAGGCTGGTCATAGCTGCTGAGGAAATATGAGGAGGAAAGACAAGGCAAACTGGAGAGGTACAAGGAATGGGGAATGAAGAGTGCAGGCAAGCAAGTTATTAAGCGATTCAGAGGCACCACCAACCCGGGGTGATCTCAAAGAGGACAGCTTGTCCTCTGGCTTTTGCAAACAGGCCGGTCAAGCAGAGGGGGCAGGCGGCACAGGTGACACACCTCCCCCCTCTGTGTGGTGCCATTGGCTCTTCCCTCCTCCTCCAAAATGAATGATTCACAGTTTTGCTGTTTATTCTCTGGGTGCTTTGTCAGCTGGTGCTGTGCTAAGCCACTAGAGCAAACTCAGTCGCTTTCCAAATCATCTGATTCTCCCAATGTCCTAGTGAGAGTCATGGTCTGGGGCATGAACCTTGCCTGACACCTCAAGGATTGTGCATTTACATTTCTGTAGTTTAGGAACTAACTAAATATAATCATAATTATTCATGTCACTCTTCATACACACTGTTCAGCTAAGATGGGCATTCTTTGTTTGACACCTCTAGGTATGAGCTCTTCCTCAGATCTCATCAACTTCTCTTCTAAACAACAGCGGTTGTCAATGATAACAGAAAAATTTCCCCTTTAGGTGTTAGCTTCTCTTAGCTCACAGGCATGAATGGATTTTAGCAGTATTAAACTGGAAACGTACTCATTAGCACTGGTACTTTTTTTTTTTTAAGACTGGCATCAATTAGGAGGAAGAATTAAGGCTTTCAAATCTAAGTTACTTTTATACCCTACAGTTAACAACAGCTAGAAAGTCTGATGGTACTGCCATCCAGACAGCACAAGTAAATGAATATACTTAACTTTGATTTTCCACTTACAGTGCAACATGAACTTTGCTCTCCGTTTTGAGTTGTTTAAACCATGCAGGAGCTTCTTGACCTTTATTACATCCATGGAACTACAACTCTTGGCCAGGGAATTTTCCCAAGTGCCACAGTTTAAGCCTGGTGAAATTAATTGGGAGAAACATTTCTGTTAGGAATGAGCCTAAAACCTAGGAAGAAAAAAATACTGCATTTTTGCACAAAGGCATCAATCAACAAGCAATGACAACAAAGCACAATTATTAAATGACAGCATCTCATTAATGTCACGTTGGCTTTAGCTCTAGGACATACTGCACATCCCCAGCTCCCACTGAAGATGCTTGAGTTGAAAGAACTCAGAACATCCCGGGGGAGCTGAGCACACAGCATACTCAAACCCTCTGAAGGATACTAACTGTCATTTATGGCAAGAGAATTTTATTTTGTAATTATACAGTATTTTAGCTGCTTCCAAACAAAAGGCAAAGAGGAAAAGGAGAGGAGAAAGCCTCCTTCATATTTTAAAATTTTCTATTGGGTTTTCTTATTAAAAACATACAAAAAGGGAAGATAAGGGTAAAGTCAGAAAATTCTGCCCCAGAACCTAAGTAAATAACCCTGCCTTACATAAACACTCCAAAGAGAAATAAATCTTTCCTTATTCTTCTTTGTATGACCCACATTCTCCAAATCCCTCGAAGGTCTGATCCTGCACGCATACATGGGCACAAGAATAACCTCGTCTACATTTGGACTGCCATCGGGCCCGCTTCGCTCTGTGACATCAAGCAGAGTTAATGGCATTATACTGCTGTGAGAGCTGAAGAAAGAGAGAATGAATCTGGGGGCGGGGGGGAAGGGAGGGGGGAACAACTCCCTGAATTAAAATTATTTCTAGGGCTAAGCACCCTCATCCTCTGATCACTACATGCTGGAGCCTCTCTGTGTCCCTGGGAGCTTTGTGTTGGAGTGACCTGAGAAAATTCGACTCCAGGGTCATGCCCAGTGTTGGCTGGGGCAGGCAGGTGTGTGCCAGAGCTGACACCCCAGCTTCTCCGGGAAGCCACAAAGTCCCCCCGCTGCCTGGCTCGTCCCAGCTTACATCTGTGATTATGGGAAGAAACCCGGTGCGTGTGCCCGTTTGTACACCCCGTGAGCCGTCCCTAGACCCCCCCAGCCCCCCCCCCCCCTCCCCACGGCCGGAGGGTGCCCGGTGGGTGCCCGGGTGGGGGCCGTGTCCCCGGGGCAGGGCCGGTGTCATGTACCGGGCGGGCTGGCAGAGGGTGCTGCAGGGACGGCCGGCACCGGGCGGCCCCCGCCCTGCACACGCACACGCACACGCACCCACGCACACGCACATCCACACACACACACAGCCGCACACACGCACCGGCTGCTGGAGGAAAAGATGCCCCTGGAAAACAACGCCTGCATCTGAGCGCGGCAAGGACCAGCCCAGCTGACGAGGAGGTGCGGAACCGACCCATCCTCCTCCTCCACCCTAAAAGAAAAAAAAAAAAAAAAAAAAAAAAAAAAAAAAGCACATATAAAGAGCAGGAAGAAGATCACATGTTATAATAATCCCCTTTGCAGCCAGACAGGACCAGAGAGGAGAACTGCCCGGTTAGGACTGAGAGATGTGCTAGAGGCTGAAAGGGAGGCAGGGACAAAACTTGAAGAGAACTAACCAGCCCTCGGGAGGGAAGGGACCCCCCAGCCCTAAGCCTCGCTGTAGCAGGAGGGAGGAAGGATCGTCCAACCCCCCCCCCCGACCCCTCTCCCCCCTCTTCCCACCCCCTCTACCCTTCCTCCCCCCCCCCCCCCCCCCGTCCCCCCCCCTTTTTCTCCCCTCTCGCCCGGGCGCTGGGCGCTGCACCTCCAGCCCAGCAGCGCAGCCCCTGCCCGCGCCCGCCCGCCCGCCCCCCCGGGGCCGCAGCCCCGACAGCGCGGCCGGAGCCCGCGGTCCCGCCGCAGAGACGGCCGGGGGCTCGCCCGGGCACCGGCACCGGCGAGACGGAGTCGGGTTTTTTGTTTTTTTTTTTTTTTTTTATTCTTATTCCCCGGCGCTCGCTGTGTGAAGCAAATCCCTTGGAGGTGGGGGAGAAGTGGCTTCCGTGACAGCGGAGGGAGGAGGGAAATAAAATAAAATAACCCAAACCAAAATAAAAAGAGAGAAGAGCCAAGAAAGCACTTGCTTCTCATCATCTTTCAGGGAGAAAAGCCAACTCTGTTCTTCTTATGACCCTCTGCTGCAGGGAGCAAAGGGAAAGAAGGTACTGGGGTAGACCTCCTAACAAAGCAGGGTTCACGGTGCCCGGAGCCCATCGCTACCCCGGTTAGCAGCAGGCTGAGAGAGGTGCGGGGGGGGGGTAGGGAAAGTTGCCAGGGGGAACCCAGGCAAAGCCAAAACGAAGCTCCACCAAAAGCAAGGAGCAGAAATGAAAGTTTCCAAATAGCATCCAAAGAACCGCAAAGGACCGGACCGAACAGAGCTCTCTGCGTCGCGTCAGCCCTCGGTGCATTGGAGAGGCTGCACCAGGGATGTGAACGCTCCCAGCCCGCTGCATGGAGAGGGGTAAAGACACAGAAAATCCTTGTTATTTATTTATTTATTGGAAGCAATGTACGGGTGACACCCAGAAGGCATCTGAGCACTGAAAAAAAACACACCTCTGGACCCAAATGAGAACAAGAAGAATGAGACAGCAGCCTTGACCCCTACACTGAGAGGAAGGTGAGCAGAAAGAAAGAAAATACAGAAAAGCCATGCAAGCACCAAACCTGTAGATTACTGCAGCTCTTTTTTGCTTCACTGAGGACAGATATTTTACTGACAGCCATGCAGCATAAAGGCATCATGCTGATTGTGTTCTTGGAATATTTTATTTCTGGCCATGGGGAAGCAGGTAAGCAAAATAAATCAATATTGCCATTCATGAAACAACTTATCCTAAGTTTAGCAAGGGGAAAGGGGATTGAAATCAGGTCTATTTGTTAAAAAAAAAAAAAAAAAGTCAACATCTTTAATATAGATTGGATTTTTATAAGGCATCTGGGTTACTCACTGTACACAAATGCTTCTTATTCCCTGCAACACCCAGATTTATAGCTCAGCCTCCTCCAAAAGACTTATAATAGAATGTACAGTTTCATACACCCTTAAAAGAAAAATGTGTATTATTTTTGTGAATGAAAGAAAATTAAGAGAGGAAGGAAGAGGTAGATGGATTAAGATATGCTGGATATTTGTTTTGACGATGAAACACTGCCTTCCTAGTCAGGACAAGACTGAAATGACAACATCCTTGGACAACATCACTGTAGAAATCTGAATTATTCTCTTTTAGATTAATTTTACGTCATTAAAAGTCAGAGACACTGTTTAGGAATTATTATTTATCCAAGACAGTCCACTCATTCAGTGTATTCCCTGACTTAATAGTTAACATGCAGTGGACAAGATTAAATTAGCATTAGAGAGAAAATGGATTAGGACAGAGAGAGAAGTTGATCAGTTGTGTGTGTATATGTGGGTGTACAAATAAGCATATATAGGAATGATACAACTGTAATGATGTTTACATAGGGTCCTAAAAAATACCTGAATTATGATGGAGACAAATTCCTTAAGGGAAAGGAAGCAAAGCATTAGATTATTTCCTTCTTGCTGTGGTTTAATACATCTTTAAGGTTAGAAGGGATGAATTATGCAGATCAGGTCAGAAAAGTAAAAATAAGTATTGATAAAAAAAAACAGTACATGCTTGCTGACTTTTCCTTTGAGATACTGGCTTAGGATCCCTCTTTCTGTACAGGAAAGCATACCAGTGGTTTAAATTTCACCTGTGTGCTCAGAGTATTAGGACAGGAACAACAGTCTACATGCAGTGATTTGAAAGCGATTGAAGTGTTCAGCTACCCTGCAAGCTCCAGGAAAGCCGAAGGCGGATCAGGTGGCTTCAGCTGAGATTATTCCCCAGCTAGAACCTCTTTGATAACATAGACATCAGATTTCCATAACTGCAAGAGTTATTTTCCTAAAAACTGAAAACAGCTCATGAATTTACAATCCTATCATATTATCCAGTGACTCATCTGGGAAAAAGGCTGGCTATCACAACATTACAGGGAATGAGTGGAGGCAGGACATGGTACCTTAGTCGTAGTCTCTTATCTTGGGCATTCACTAGTTTCCCAGGCTAGGACTCTCCCTACAGGATACATATGTTGACATATAGCACAGAAGGGCTATGGAGATGTATTGTAAAGTTGCCTATACTATTGTGGAAAGCAGTCTGTTACAAAATAGCCTGAATTTGCTCTGTATCCAATTCACAAAGTGAAAATGAATCTTCAAGGAAATGCAGCCCACAGCTGGCTGCTTGGAAAGTGAATTTGAGGAGAGGCAGTGTGTTCCGTATGGAGCTAAACACGCTCACAATAATGGTGTAGGACATAGTGAATAACAGCAAAATAATTAGGTATTGAAGGTGATGATGCTAATAATTCAGTGTCACTTTAAATAAATATACACTGCTTAGTCAAAAGGTTGCACAAGGCATCAGCCTGTGGAAGCACAACAGTTACCTGTTCATTGTTATTTTTGTTGGTTGGTTGGTTGGTTGGGTTTTTTTTTAGAAGCAATATAAAAATCTTGAATTAACCTTGAATCTTTACAGGTCCTGTTACAGGCAGGGTCAGTACCAACTAAGGTTAGTTCAGACAGTGTTTTGCCAATCTGTGTAAAATGATTTGGAAGTCTCAGACTTTTTCTGAGCAGAGAAGTGTACAGGAAGTATGTTTTTGACATACTTTATTAACCTATAAACTCCCTTTTTAGCCCTATAGTTGGTCCCTTCTGGTCAGAAGTGAAACAAATTAATGGGGCAGTTGTTTGTGGATACATGAATTACAATATTTGTAGGGCGTACAATATTTATCTTCTGCCATCTCTCTGCAGAGAAGACAGTCAGGGTTGTCAAGATTGGCTCCTTAGATCTTTAAATATTATGTCAAGGAGGAAAAATACCTCAGTGGTTAGGCTGGAAGAGTGACCTAGGTTTTATATTGTGAGGTGTGACACTTGGGTAATTCTTCCCCCAGTCTGATGCAGGTGGAGGGCATTATTCCCCTCAAATACACTCTGCAGTGGTCTGAAAACTCTTGCGGATTAGGACAGTTAACTGGACAGACAACACCTTGGGGTCTGGCCCCAGCCCAGGCCTGCCCAGGGCAGCAGCCCCCCCAGCAGTGCCCGGGCCAGCTCTCGGCCCGATGGCAGGCCTCCAAAAGGGGGCGTGGTGTGGCCAAAAATGGCCATTTCTAGCACCAACCTGAAAATCGATTGCGGGGCCTGATCATCAGCAGGGCTTGGTCTCCTCTGGTCTGGGGTCATTCAGCTCATCTGAAAATGAAGCTGGAGGTGTTGGAGCCCACCCTTGTTCCAGGAGGGGCGCAGGCAGGCAGACTGCAACTGGCCACAGTGGAATGTTGCCCAGAGCTGGCATTTTATTCTCCTTCTGTCCGTGCCTCAGGTCATGGAGGCAGCTTGGTCTCATCGCATATTCAGAACTTTACCTATGGGGTATTTATGAAGGCTGGCTCATTAGTTCCAGTTGTGAGGGCTATTTTAGTGCAGGAATACATCGGACTACTCATAAATGGATGAAGACTTGCCAAACTTACTGCACGTTGGCCCCGGACAAACCAAAGGGTTGTATAGCATTTCTGTTGTAACCAGCATTAAGTGGTAAAGTTCTAGGACTGATTAATAAAAACTGGAGAAACAAAAGTCCCCAGGGTGGTTATCATTAAAAGAACATTTAAAAGTTTTTGGTTATTAAGAAAAAACTTGAACAGATACAGAACAAGTGAAATCCAGGTTGGACATACATGCTGAAACTGCTTCATCAAAAACATAGCAGAAGATGCCCAAAGGTCTTCATGTTTACATGTTGCTCAGAACTGTGATATTTGCTCTCCTGTCTCACTGTAGGACACTTGAACAGACAAAATCATGAATTTTCATATGGAAAAGAAATAAACATTCAATTCAAATCACGCAGAAAATATTAGGCATCTTTCCAGTCACATCATCAGGCTTTGACTGAGTTGCCACATGACCTTTCTTCTGTCAGGTATCCAATGGAGGGTGAAAAAAAACTCTAAAAAAAAATTGAACCTGACTGAGTAAATGTCTACAATGCTCTGCTGCATTACAAGGCTCTGAAGTAAGAGATCTCTGTTTGAAATGGTGTCCCAGGAATATCAACAGTGTGACCTCCCTTGAACTGTATGATTCCCTAATCATTGGATAACGCCACTGTTGTAACACGTGCCAGGCATGTGCCCTTGACCTGCCACTTTGTAGCACAGCTCTGAGGGACCAGAAAACAAACAAATAAATTAATTATACCATTTATGGAGCCAAGCCATCCTCCATGGAGTAAAAGCTAATCAACTTCAATAACATGCCCATGCAAAATCAAACTGTTTAGCTCTGTATGAATTATTCAATGAGTCCTCCTGGCAGTTGGGGTAAGTTGTATGTTTGTCTGGCTGCTGTTTCTCTTCTGCAGTGGTCCCCCCTCTCTGTCCAGGTTCAAGATTTCATGTTGTTTCCACAGAATCAGTGAGTGATGGACAGGCTGCGCTATACTTGTGGCCAAGCAATGTTCTGCCAATTGATTTCTTTAAATGCACAGCTTTTAATCGACTGCAGATTTTGTTTTCCAACCTCTCCTTCTCTCAAACTCCCTTCTGCTAATTTGCACTTTGTTCTTCTCCCATTTTCCTAATGACACAGCAGTTCAGACAGGAACTGTTTATTGATGTTGCTGCATTAGCAGGCAGAACAGATAAACATTCTTGTGAGTGTTGTTCAGGAGAACAACCACGTTTTTCTTCCTTTTCCAGGTTCAGATAAAAACAGCTGAAAACCTCAATGCAAGACTAAGAGCCCATTAGCCCATTTATGGGAAATATAAAAAGCAGCCATTCCCTTTAAAAAATGCTTCCTTTCTTACTTTCTCACATTTTTGACTGCAAAGCTTCCCCTATATAACTCCTTAAATTTAGACCTCCAACACCCCTTTTCTTCTATGAAAGCTTCAGTGGCATGATCCATCAATAGAGATGGACTTTCTTTTAATTACATGATCTATTTATCCATAATCCAACAGCATTTGTAACATGAACCCATTCTTAATCAAAATTAAGTAACCTTACTCTTAGTCACAGCTAATGCTTGTTCAAAACTCAGTTTTAAGACCAATCCCATTTAAATTCTCTGGAGGCAAAAATGACACCTTTCAGCAGCACTGAGAAAAAAATGGTTAATATCCAATTTAAACACAGTGCTTTCCTTATTTCCAGTATCTTTTACCAAACAGCTTGGACATGAGCATGAACCTAAATTCCACTTGCAAAGACATTCTTGAGGCATGTCATTGTAGCTCCTTACATTTTTTGCTGACCTGCAAGGATAGATCCATCTTTATTTCAAGAATTCTTCATGACTCAGTGAAATTCACCCTCCAGAGCAGACAAAAATTTGGCATTTCAGATGTTCTGCAAAAAGGAGAACGCTCAGAACAACTTTTGGGGAAACCTGAGTCCTTCCTCAGGACAAAAAGACTCAGAGAAATTGTAAGAAACCTCCCAGATAAAATCTTTGAATCTCCTGGTGTTCCCCTGTAACTGTACTAAACTCAGATGGAATGAGAATTTCATAAGCAGAAAGAAAATACATTGAAATGGTTATCAAGCAATTAGGATGGTGTGAGGGCTTGGTGGAAGATCTCCAGTAGTGCTAAGAATCACCTACTCAATTGAAGTTTGGGAGCAAAGAACAGAACTGATAGAGCCAAACATCCCCATCTTCTCTCCTTTCCTCTCCAGCTGACTTCTGAAACTCCTCCTCTCTTCATGAAAATTCCACTCTGTGCTGGCACACAGAGTGGTGGTGGGCCTGAGGAGGGGCAGCTTTCATTCCTTTGATGCAAGGACTATTAGGTACACATGTAATTCAGGCGCTGCTGGCCTCTAAGCTCTCCCAGTCTCCTAGGACTTCACTGGGACACTAAAAAAAATCTTGGCCAGCCCATTCCAGCCAGTGGTGGAAGACAACCTCCACCAGAAAGAAACTCACCGTGTCTCCAGGCACCCCTTCTTTCCCTGAGGCTGCTGCTTAAAATGTCTGTAAGGCAAACACGTATTAATTCCAAGTTCCTTTGAAGGTGGCATCCACCTGTTTCTAAAAGTAGTCAAGATAATCCTGTTTGGATGATTTTCTTCTTTGCTACCTGAAATTTAAGACTATCTTATGCTGTATGTAAATTAAAAAGGCACACACCATTGGTCAAGGGGATTTGGTGGACATACAGCAACTTCATTTTGTCTCCTAATCCTGGGAAGAAAATTGCATGAGATGTTTTCCAAAACAATGTCCATCTCTGACCATTGTCTTCTGGTTTGTGCAGAAATGTCACTAAGGAACTAAGGACAGAAGCAACTCAGAGAAAAAACTGTGCACGCTGGACACACTTTTTCACCTTAAACATTCCTTTTGGAAGGAGGGACATCAGTTTCACCCAACTACATTTATGATTTGAGTATTTTTATAAGGCTGAATCAGAAAGTCTTTTCTTTGACCTAACTTGATTTTAAAATTAATTTTACCTGAGGAAAGGCTGAATATAAACCAAGTAGGGATTTAAAATTTTGACCTAGAATGTTGAACTAATAGCCGACCTTTGAACTGCTCCTAGATTACCCAGGGTTTACGGTCATCCTATGTTTCATTGGAAGGGTCATTTCCTGTAGGACTTACATCAAGTCATCTGACTTGTGACCTCTTGGATTAGATTTATGACCTTGCAAGGTCAGTCTTTAACTCCTTCTGGACTGTTAAATTGCAAAGAGGACACTGTAAGTCATTAGAAAAGAAGTTTTTTCTAGTATGGTAATAAGGTTTGGGGGCTGACCTTTAATTCCAGTGCCAAAAGACACTACTGATTTCCAAACAATATGAAGACTTTGTAGTTATCCCCAACTTTTCTTAATTTAGAAATAAGTAGATATATACATTGAGGATACCAAAACTTTTACCAGTATTTGCAAATTTGGCAAACAGAATATAGTTGTCTACTTCCATGACAAACAAAAGAGAGACTTGATTTTCAGCTCTGTTAAGTATCAACAACTCCAGCTGGTCTCAATAGGAGCACTAGAAACTTAACACCCCTCAAAATTATGCCAGTAATGCATAACCATAGAACTATAGAAATACATGCTTGCTCTTTGTGTTTGTTTGTGTAATTAGTATCTGTAATTTGCTGAACAGAAAGCATCTCTTTTCTTAATGTAACTACAGTGTATAGTACAACTTGAATTTGCTTTCTGATAACAATGAAAATAAATGCGTTTAATAGATTCAGTCCTCAGATACAGAGCTTTATCAGAGTAAAAGTAAGAAAACACAAGATTCTTGTGGTTAAACACAAAATTCAATAGACCAATGTAACCGTATTTTCAACAGAAATCAAAGTTAAGCACCATAAGCATGAGTTTTCTAAAGACCTCAGTTTCTGAGTTAGGCACCAAATGCAAGGACTAGGTTTATTGAGAAACTCCCTCCAAACTTTGTGAGAAAAGATGAAGTAGGTCTCCTTAGAAGGAATCCTTTTGGATGTCTATCTCCAGATGAGGACTCCAAAGATTTGCATGGTCACCTATGTTACAGCCTAAGAAGTATTTGAGAAATTCTACTTAGTTGTGTTTCTTTTGCCTGTCTTTCAGATCCTGTGAGGCTACGAGCCTTCCGCTGTAATGGCCGTTCTTGCAACCCTCCAGTGGGAAACCTTGCAACAGGGAGGACACCGGTAACTCTCACCACATGTGGCCAGAACAGTACAGAACTGTACTGCTTCTACCCAGACCAGAATCTCCTCCATCAGGTCTCCCACGGCTGTGGGCAGCCTCGCTGCACCAAATGCAATGCCAACCAGCCCGACAACTCCCATCTCCCTGCTGACATGACAGATGATTTCTTCGCAAACCCCATCTCCTGGTGGCAGTCTGCGCAAGGGGTACACAGGGAAGAAATCAGACTGGACTTTGAAACAGAATTCTACCTGACCCACGTCATTGCTGTGTTCAAGTCACCCCGCCCAGCTGCGATGGTGTTGGAAAGATCCCAGGACTATGGGCAGACCTGGAGGCCCTACAAATATTTCTCTGTCAACTGTACAGCGACTTTTGGGCTCCAGGATGATCTCATTGAGGAGGGCTCCATGTGTACTTCCAGGTATTCAGATGCAGTGCCCTGCACCAGAGGAGAGGTAAGCAATAACAGAGGTTTGGGCTAAGTTTAATGTCAAACAGCTGAAGACTGGCTCAAAATAAGAGTATGTGCTCAAAGAGATACTGCACATATAAATTAAGAAAGATATCCCATCCCCAAAGGCTTTGCATTATGAAAATAAAGGGGAAGAAGAAGAGAAATTATATATCAATGAAAATGAATTTAAATGCTTTAACAAATTTATTTTATAAGAGTTGCGCAGGATGGGAGTAACACTGCTTAATTTTATATTTCAGATGCCAATAACTGAGCTAGAATTCCAACAAAACAGGCACAGGGAAATACACATTTGCAGAGTCTGATTTATCCAGACTGTTTTCCTACTTTAGGATGACATGAACTGCATGGTCCTTCTTTCTCTTCTGTATATAAAAAGTCCTACATGACTGGATGACTTTTAAATACATCCCTCCCCTAAGTTTAATGTAACTTTTCTTGCTGGGAGTGACCTCTCTGATTGTACCAAGCCATAGGCTCCAGAAATGAAACCGTTTAGAAACAGGAAGTGGAAGTGAGCAGCCAGGTTTCACTATTCAACAGTGAGAAAAGGCCCTCCCTTGGTATGGATATTCTGATGTGCTATTAAACATATGCAGAAGGTTTTCTTTTAAAATAAATGTATAATTGCTCTGATAAATTCTTCTGACAAACATTAATGACTGCTTAGTAATCAGATACTTAGTTTAGTTATAATCCTTCTCATTCATCAATCTTGAAACAGTTTAGATGGGAAAGAAAGTAAGTATCATTGGTATCATTTTACAGAGGAGACATAAAGGCACAAAGGGAGATTATAAAACAGTCCTATAGTAACAACAGAGGCTGGAGTCCTTTCACTTCCTTCTCTCTTCCTTAGAGAAGTCACAGTCTTCTTGGTTTCCCTGTCTGGAAGTGATCATGCAGGTTTCACAGTAATACCTTGCTGCAAATTAAACTCAGGTGTGAGGTGAATGGTCCAGATAGGCTTCAAAAAACACAGTGGTTTCAGCAGTGCGCTTCAAAATGCACTTGAGAAGAAAGAAACTAGTGTACTATACCTGAGACAGGGAAACAGCAGTAAGGAGAGACTGAGTTCATCTTTGTGCAACAGGCTGGGAAACATCTCTGCGTATTAGACATCTGGAGCAGATCATCTGACTACTAAACTGTCTTGTTCCTGGAGTAGCAATTCTGCTGGTCAGTTATCATGATACATTTAAGTCAAATACATCCAAATGTCTTCTGTAGAGAGATTACAATTTGCCACGTCAATATGGAATCTAGGCAACTAATATAATTTTCCACTCTTGTGTGCTTTCCAATCAAAAATCTGGAAGTACTTTGCAAGATCCATTTAATGATCTTCCGCACACATAAGGGTCCTGTTGCCATTTCTCAGATGAAGAGCAGCACAGAAAGGTGAAGCGTTTCATTATAAAACAGGACAATTCTCATTGAGTAAGGAACAGAACACAGGGTCTGAGGCAAATGCCTTGGCCTTAAATGTGGAACAACTCTTCCTTCTCTAGTGCAGTATCCTCTGTTGCCCTGCACTACATTGGCTTTTGTGCTTACTTAACCTTGGGGAATATCATTAAGACCATATGTTGCTGCTACAACAAATCTAAGAAGTGGATGGCAGAAAATCAAATAATAAAACATTCATCCAACACAAGCCTTTGTGATTACAAGTGTCAAAATGATTCTGTCAACTTGGGAAGCAACTACACTGAAATGAATATATGTATGCTTAATCAATCTATGCTGGGGCAGTAGATGTTAGGAAATAATAGTAATAGTAAGAATAGCTGTATATTTATAGGTCATAACCTTGCAGATCCCAAATACTTTCATGAACTGTTACATGAATTGAATACATACAGAGGTCACTTCCTCCATGGGACAGAGAGCTGAAGCTTTAAAGCAGCACACAGGAGTCTGTACGGCAACCTAACAGAGAACAAGACAAATACTGTTTCACAGCACATTAACCCAAAAGGATTCTGAAGTTCTGGACAGACTTTAGAGACCTCTTAATCAATCCATGAAATGCCACCATTGCAAGAGTGCAAAAGCATCAGGCTTTTCAGGTCAGCAATATGACACAGCAGAATCTTTTGTGAATGAAAATAAAGGAAGGCAGAGTGTAGTAATTTAAAGTGACACCTGATCAGATTTGCTTGAGTTACACAGTAACTCTTACTACAAATCTCACAGGAGCTTTGCCCACACATCTCAGAACTGCAATTTTATACCTTATTTTAAAGATGTCACGAATGCATCCCCTCAAGCAGTGACTTACAACTGACTTGGAAGGAAGCTGACTGAATCCCCACCGCTACTTTCTGCAGTGTTTTGTGCTTCTTTTTCACCTCCACTCTGACCTGCCCAATTATTGAATCTGGGTGAGCCTTGGATTGCTGAGGAGCTCACGTCCCAAGCTGACAACATTTCTGAAATGATCAAATCCATTCCAACTTAAATGATAATTAATGCTCTGAGATAAATGCCAGTTTTCTCTACTGAGGGGGTTGAAGTAATTTCCACTGCATGACACTCAGGTTTTTCTTGGGCATTGTCCTATTCAATTGGAGAAGAGACACAAATTCCTTTTTAAGAGGGCACAAAATAGATAATAAAAAAAGAAATGGCTTTACTGAGAACACTTAGGTTTAAAACCCATGTGGGACACATCATGAAACAAGATTTCAGCTCAACTGGCTTCCAGAACTGAGAATGTAGATGTGAAAGGAGAACATGGTAGAGCTGCAGTAATTTAGATGCGTATATAAACTGAGATGTATCTACCTCAGTCAGCACACTCTGGTGCTCCTCCAAGACCACTGAAAGAGGCTTTTCCTGGGAGCATGATGGGAAACTTGGCAGAAGAGAAACTTTTAGGAGACTAGAATGGAGACAAAAGGCATTTGGGTGAGTGATGTGACAATGTCACAACAGAGCATAATGTATCACCAAGTTATCCCTTGTCTCTTATACATTATCCCTTATATTTCACCTCTGATAGGGTCACACATCTCCATTCCATCTCATAAAAGGTAGAGCTGAGACAGAAGGTGTCATGCATTGGGGAACGAGTCCTGTAGAAATGAAAGAAGATGAGTTCCTAATGTATCTTTCACAGTTTTCTTTTAGTCCAGCATTTACTAAATCCCTTACTGCTGTTCAGATCCAGAGTATTTCTGCAGCTAGAATCTATCTATCTAAGATCCTAGGTCCCCTCCATCTTAGTTCTTCTGGAAACTCACTCTGTTGATAGTTTGTAGTCTAAGAGGCAAAGCAGTTTATTCACTTCCAATTGCCTACACATCATTTACTTCATATGAAGCACTAAAAAATCAACATCTAACTTTCCATGCTTATAAACACTTCTCAGTGATAATTGTCCACTGTCATGTCTTAAGTTTTGACTGGCCTGTTAAGTACCCTATGTTTTGCCTGTTGACTTCTATCATTATAAGAAATTATAAATTAAATTGGAAACAAATGCTTCTTATCTTTATTGTATTCTTAAGAGAGAATATTCTTAAGTATTCGTAAGGAACAATAGTTACTGCTATGCTCAACAGCTTCAGTATGCCAACCTCCAACATAACATCATGAACTAAAATCAACTCCACCTTTTTAAGGTCTGTTCATCTACTGTAAGAGCAATCTACTGTACATGCAATGCTTGCATGGAGTCTTATGTATCAACTGAGACCTTTTTTACCTACTTGTCTATCCATCTGTTGTTCTAATTTAAAATACTGTACTATATAGTCATGGAGCCTAAATGGAGCCTTCAGGTCAGCTAATGTAAACCAAAACTCTGGCCCAAACAAAAGAAGAAATTACCACAATGTTGCATCAGACATTAGTGTGACTTAGAGTTCAAACATCATATGGGAGAAACAGGGACCGAAATGTTTCAACCTGTATCCTGACAGCATGTGCACTCAAGGATCTGAGAGATTAAGAGCACATTTTTAATAAACTGGAATACTGGGAAATGAAAACAAATGTTCTCCTCCATCGAAGATGATGTTTGCATGAAAGGAAGACAATTAGCATGCAAAATGGGGTAGAACACTGACCTGCTTATAACCACCAGACTTGAAAGGAAACCCTTACCCCATTGGGTCTAACTAGTGGAAGGGAGTTTTGAATCAAAGGCCGGTTCATTCATGTGAGTGTCTGTGTGACAGATGACACCAATGAAGTGTGATATAATAAACCCATTACTGGAATTCACTGGGGGCTGGCAGAATTGTGTATGCTTGAATTAAGTAACTGGTTTCTATGGTGACATGTTAAGTGTGCCTTGCGCAGAAGACCTGTTCATTCTCCGTTTTGTATCCTGTGGTGACGTCTTTAGGGACAGAAGTCCCCAGCAGTGCCTTTTGTCGAAGATGAGTGGACTCACTTTGTAGCTAAAAGACTTTTAATCACTCTTCTAAACACATTCTGTGAATGTCAGATCAAGACATGTTGTGATGGGATGCAGTTCTGTTTGCTTCAAAACCCACCAGGTTGTCAGATAGAAGCCACAGTCAGCCCTACGGAAGGCCTTTTCCTCTGCACTGACATTGAAGACCTCTGCTGCCTTTCTCCATCTACAAGGACTCCCTGAGCAACAGTTAGAGCAGTGGGGGACCACTTGTACACAGACACCAAGCCAGACCAGGACAGGGCTCTGTGTGAAATGTATGTGATATTGTTCTAAGGACCTAAATTTTTTGCTGTCTTTTCCCAGGCTTTTCTTTTACTGTATTCATGCCAAACCTTCTGATAAACAAAGGAGGATCTCCTGCACACACACTCACCCCTCATTAAATGGCAACATCAATAATTCAAGAGGTCACCACTGAGGCTTCAGTGGCTTCTTAAAGGTCTGATCTCATATGGCAATGGGGTCATTGAAAAGAAACATCCTCAGCATATCACAAGGTTGAATTCCTAGCAGCTAAGATGCAAGGGCAGGGCCTTGCACTGCAGTGA